AAGCAAAACTGCTAAAAGCATTGGCATACAGGGGTACAGGGTAGCCAGGCCGACCCTGCACCCCGAGCAGAACAAGACGCGAGGAGTGGCTACCTTCATCCGGAAGGACATAATGTTCGTCGAAAGGGACGCCCCCGTATACAAAAAAGGCCTGGAAACGGTCCTGGTGGAAACCTTACCACACAGGGCTGTTAAGAGAAGCATCTTTGTGCTCAATCTTTACAGTTCTCCATCAGATAAGAAAAGAGATTTCAACAGACTGCTTACCTCGGCGGTAAAAATGGCGGGTGACAATCTGCTCATAGTAGCGGGCGATTTTAACGCCAGGAGTACCGAATGGGGATACTTAAAAAGCGAAGGCAAAGGCACCAAGTTAGCAGAAAGCGCGAATGCGCTGGACCTGCAGCTGATAAACAACCTTGCCCTCCCTTCAAGAAGAGGTAATTCGGTACAGCGAGACACAATGCCGGACTTAACCTTCACCAAGAACGTCAGAGCTACCTGGGATAACCTCGCCAAAGACCTAGGTAGCGACCACTGCATCATGGAAATTACCGTTGAGAACGAGGCGAAAGCGCAAAGAAAATTTAAAATCACAGATTGGGACCAGTTCCGTAAAATACGGGAGCAGAAAGGCAATACAGAACTATCATATGAAGCCCTCTTAAATGAATTAAAATTGGCAGCGAATGAGGCCACCAAAGAAGTCGAGACTGATGAATCTATCCAGGCAATGGACTCTCATTTGGCCAGTTTGCTGCAGAAAAAGCATGACCTAAAAGAAGCGTGGCGTAAGAACAAGCTCAACAGACACTTACGCACAAAAATCGCGGACCTTGGCCGTGAAATCGAATCTCACGCCAAAATACTCTGCGCCCAGCAGTGGAACAACACATGTGACGAAGCAGATGGCAAAACGAGGAAGGGAAGCAAATGGGGGCTGCTCAAACATCTTATGGCGGACAGCGACAAACCCACCAGAGGCGGCACCCAGCTGCAAATTGAACGAGTGGTGCACAAGCACGCCCAGGATTGTGGTGGACCCCAAGCTCTCCTCAAAACGCTAGGCCAAAAATATCTCCCACTGGAAAGCAAATCAGTAGCCTGGGAAAACAAAAATCCCTCATATGGAGGTCGACCGCAAGAAAAGCTAGACGAACCATTCAGCTAAGCTGAAATACGGTACGCTCTACAACAACTCAATGGCAGATCGGCGCCAGGGCCAGATGGAATCGACAATAAACTGCTACGGAATCTAGACAATAAATCAATCGTAATCATTACTAAGAAGATAAATGAGGCATGGGAAACGGGTACCGTGCCTAAAGAATGGCGTAGTGCCAAGGTTTCGCTCATCCGGAAACCTGGAAAACCGCTGAGCATCGATAACTTAAGGCCCATATCACTCACATCTTGCGTTGGGAAAGTAGCTGAGCATGCAATACTCAACCGTTTCACGGACCACATTGAGAGCAATGGGTTCTTTCGACACAACATTTTTGGCTTCCGCAGGGCACTGTCCACACAGGACGCCATGTTGATGTTAAGAGAACACATATGTTACGGCCTCCTCCACACGCCCAAAGCCATATTAGCCCTTGACCTCGCCAAGGCCTTTGACACCGTAAAACATGAACACATACTGGGTGAAATATCGCACATGAACCTAGGCGAGAAATTCTACAACTACATTAAAGGCTTTCTGGCGAACCGAACCGCCACCATACGCATAGGAGAGCAATGCGGCGAACCCGAACGACTCGGGAATATCGGCACCCCACAAGGGTCAGTGCTCTCGCCATTGATCTTTAATGTGGCGATGCACAGGTTTTCGGAGAAGCTCGCTCAAATTCCATCCGTGCACCATGCCATATACGCGGATGATATTACCATATGGGTCCCATGTGTCCACTCATATGGTGCCTTGGAAGGAATCCTTCAACAAGCACTGACTACAACTGAAGAATTTCTTAAGCCCACTGGACTCGCACTGTCCCCCACTAAATCTACTCTAACGCTCTTTCACCCTCGACAAAATTCGGGCGAAGAGGAGCAGCAAGTAGTGCTCAAAGCTGAGAACAACCAAACGATACCGCAAGTGTATACGGTCAAAGTACTAGGGCTAACGTTAAGCGCCAAGGAGGGCCACAACAAAGAAGCACTCAAGCGCCTTGAAAAAAGCACGAACAATTTTTCAAGAGGCATTGCTAGAATCGCCAACAAGAGAGCAGGCCTCCTAGAAGACAACATCTTGAAGGCGTATCACGCCTTTCTCGTAAGTCACGTAGCATACGCGTTCCCGTTTCTGAAACTTACGAAGGCTGAAATCAAAAAGGTCGACTCCATGCTCCGCAAGGGACTGAAAACGGCACTTGGCTTGCCCAATAGCACGAGCAACGAGAAACTCGAGCAACTTGGTCTGCACAACACAGCCGAAGAAATTTTTGAGGCTCAGAGAGTGGCACAGATCACACCCCTGTCGTTGACACAGGGAGGCCATCTCATCCTATGAGACGCAGGCATTTGCCCAATTTTTCAACCAGAGAAAAGAACACAACTTGGTAATGACATGAGGAAACACATTAGGGTTGAGGCAATCTCCCGCAACGTTCACCCTACGTTCAACAAAGGGCGAAGGAAGGACAGAGCGAGGGCGCTCATAAACAAGGCAAAAAAAACACAACACGCACGCGCTATTCGTAGATGAAGCCCGCTACTATGGCAGGGAGGCGTTTGCCATAGCGGTCGCTGACATAGACGGAAACCTCATAAACGCGGCAAGCGTCCAAACAAGCCATGTCCACGAAGCAGAGAAAATGGCGATCGCGCTAGCCTTGCAAAGCTGCCGAGCCTAATCCACAATATACACAGACTCTAAGACGGCGGCACGAACGTTCGCGGCTGGCCTAGTCGCTGCAAGCACTGGAAAACTCACCGTGAACGCAATAAGAGAGTATGAGAGCAAAGAAACGCTTGTTAAGGAAGAGAAAGCTCAAATCTACGTATCCTGGTTCCCAGCCCACATGGGAAAGTTACCGGGACTCGACCACTGCAATCCCAACGAAGAGGTCAACCGCCTGGCGCGCGAGCTCCCACGCCGCGCCGCGGACAACAACCCCTCGATGAGTGAGCGGTACAAGAATCTCTGCAGCCAGGACAAAGTACTCACATACCACGAGATCACTTCACATTACCGGGGACAAAGACGTGCCTTCCCAGCACCGCACCCAAAACTTAACAAAGCACAAGCTCTAACTCTCGGAAGATTGCAAACACGTACGTGCATAACACCATCCACCTTACACAGAGTTGACCCTGACACACCACCCACATGCTCCCTTTGCAATCATCCCTATTGCAATTTTGAACACATGCTCTGGCTGTGCCCTACCCATAGCGCAGCACAACTGAATACCCAAGAGGCTTGGCAGGAAGCCCTTAAGAGCAATCAATACAAGCTGCAACTACAGGCGGTCCAGAGGGCCCGGGACATCGCTACAAGCCTTCGGCTGCCAGCGCCATCCTGGGCGGAGCCTCCAGGTTGAATTAAGGGTCGGAATGGCCTTTTCTCAGCCTCCTCAGGATATGTTTAAATAAAGTCAATCTCTCTCTCTCTCTTATGCCCTCTGAGACGGGCGCGCACGCCCGTCTCAGAGCCGCGCGTTTCGTTTTTCAAGAAATTTACCAGGTAGCGCTCATGTCTCACGTGTCACGTGACTTGACCCGCTCGTTCGCCTCCGCTTAGAGTGCCTTCGCTTCAAGTTCGAGGCACTCTAACGCAGCGCCTCCAGAATACAATTCACAGATTTTTTTTGTGGCACAAAACATCTAGTAAACGTTTTGTTCACCCTCTCGAGACGCAAGACTATCGTGTTTCGACGACATTTGCAGTGTAACATGCAGATACGGGGCCAAAATTTTCGATCACTGACGAATTTTTGCTCACAACCAACGGGGCTGATGCCGACGGTGGAATTTATTCGACATGAGCTCTCTAAAGCTATCGCGTTATTACAGAAGCGCAACAAACAGACACATTAGGCGGCAGCTGCGTAAGCTCCTCATCCCTTGCATTATCACCGTTTGAGCGTGATTATCTGGCCAGGTTGTATGCCCCTCGTGCACACATGTTAAAATATAATCATTTACATTCGATGTATTATTTAGGCTTGTACTTGTCATTCTCTGTAGATATATATGTTGTCATTCTGCAAGAAAGCATCAGTTGGATGCCAGCGCTATTTTTCTACCCTGAACTTTTTTTCCTATATTCGTGCTTTGAACTACGCCGTCATGAAGTAGTTATTCGGTTTTCTTTGTTTGGCGTGGTGAGTCGTAACACAATCTAATACTTGGCACAACTATGCATCGGGGTGATGCACACAAATCCAGGTTGTTGGCATAAGGTGCCTCAACAAGTAAAAGTCACATTCCTTTATCTTTACCGGCAGTTTAAAAGCGATAATCACGGAAACTATTAGTGTTTCAAGTTTTAACCTATTACAATACGTGATTGAATGCACGACATATGCAAACACTTTATGGCCTTTAGTCGAAGGTTGTGCTACTCAACAATTTTTGCGAATAATATATCGCATCCTAAAATGATGTGCTGCCAACGTTAGTGAATCTTGACATAAAAAATTTGTATGAAAATTCTTCAGTACAGCGTAGAAAATTTTTTGAAAAATAATTACCTCGTTCACACGTATTTAAAAGGTTGCTTATAAGTGACAAACTCAGGAACTACTCGGGAATTCCGGCACCACATTTCAAAGTTGTGTAAATAACACGTTTGTGAAAAAAAAAACAAAGAACAAGCGTGTTGCACTAAAATTACGGTAGCCATGAACACAACACATTGGCATTCACTGAGGTGCAATAGCTGCTATTCCAGAGGCCATATAATGCGCCAAACCGCACGTTTATTATAGTGGGCCACTGATAACGTTACTTTTTAACAGAACAAGTGAAGGCAACAGATGACCCAGCATACGTACGAGAAACTGAGCAGCATCATGTTTCCTTCAGCTGCAGTGATCCTCCAGACGCAGTCCACAGAAGGCGTGTACGTTTCTGGATACCCGGGGCTGGCAACGTTTCCTTCCAGCGAACTGAGTGTGCCGCCGCAGCCTGCATTTATTTTTCATATCAGGTGGCGAATGGGCAAGACGTAATAGCTGCTATGCCAGCTGCCATAAAACGTTATAGTTATAAAATCAGTCATAAAGGCTTCCACAACCCTTCCGAAAAACAAGAACAGAAAAAAGAACATGGTTGATCTCTCCGTCATAGCAGTCGACATAACGCGAGAGTGAAATGTACATTCACAGAGCTAGTTAAGTTAAACATTCCCGCTGGAGCGAGCGAAGTGACTTCCGTTCACTCTGTAACTCCCACTTTAATTTTCAGTGAAAGCACGAGACAGAGACGACTCTCATTTGGAGATAAGTGCGCGCGCATGGGCAACTACATGTGTCGGGCAAAGGACAGGTGGGGTGCGCCCTCAACGCAGCGAGCAGGACGACGACCCTTAAAGTGCGCCATCTTCCTGGTGGTAAGAGAAACAGGTGCCTTCAAGTGTGGCTTTCGAGATCAGCCGGTGGCGCTCCGTTGCTGGCCGTCTCATTCAGCGTGTCGCCCAGCGGAGAAGTGTCTGCTGCCTCATAAAGGTGCCGCGAGATAGCTCTTTCCCCATGAGTCGAGCGGTGCTCGTCTGCTTGGATACGCATGCGATTTAAGTCATTTCGGTCACGACATCAACCGTGTTGGCACGTTGGTACCTATTTGAGACATGCTATAACCACGCAATCAACGTGCATCTATGCCTTGGTGCCGCTACAAAAAAGTTCAGGCACGTTATTAAAAAGTTATTCCTAGCTTTCGCACAAAACTTTAATGGTCGTTTAAAAGCAGATTTGGGCAACAGATGCTGCTACCTCGGAATATTTTATCTAGGTTGCGTGCAAGGTTGGCGAACGGTGTTTTTCATGTTGTCTGGAATTATGACAACACGTAGGTATTTTTTTATAAACGCGATGACTTTGAAGCGCTTGTTTTAATAATTCCCACGCAAATACAAAATTACAATGCAGCTACATTACAACATATCTCTCTTTGGTTCAACCACCGTGAGTGTTTGTACGCTACCTCGCTAGAAGACATAGCTTTGTCTCTCGCACGTGAAGCGAAAATTTTACAACGGAGCTGTTCTGGTATATAGGTAACTCTTCATATTTTTGTAGTGTGTAACAAATGAAAATCGTTCATTGTTTGTAATTTTTTTAACGATCGGCCAAAGGCTCATGTACGTATATTTAGGTGCATGTCATTCATGTGGCAAAGCTCACTAAACTATGCACCCCTTCCCTTCTTTTGCTTTAAAGACCATAGTTTTTTTTGGGGACCTTCAACGCAAAAGTTTGTTCTGTCTCTTTGTCTGTACATTTGTCTGTTTGTCCACTCTTAACGCGGCAAGGTTCCATTTGGCGTTGCATAAATCTGCTGCCAGACTTTGGGGTGGTTGTTGCCAGACTGCCGCTAAATTTGGCAGAAAATTTTTCTTCCGTAGTTGTGGCTTCTCCGTAAGAGTTTGGTGCTATCCGCGGTGCACTTCTTGGCTGAAAATTTTTCTTCTGTAGTTGTGGCTTCTCCGCAAGAGTTTGGTGCTATCCGCGGAAGCGTAGTGTCCCCCGTTGTAGCGCGCGGTCGACGCGACACGATCAGCTGAGAGAAAAAAAAAAAAAGAAAAGTAAGGGGGAAGGGGGGCAGCGCATCCCCTCCTGCGACTCTAATCAGTTTTCCCTGTAATCCCTAATACTGAGACGCGATATCTTAATCGCACAGCTGCGCACACAGCAAGAGAACGCGCCTCGACTTCTGTAATGGGAGGTTCATTCCGTTAATTAAAACGGCCTCTTAATTGCGCAGCAGTGCCGCACTCGACTTCTGCTAGGCTCGGTTCCTTCCGTTAATTAAAACGGAATTGAAACGGCCTCTTAATTGCACGGCAGCACCGCGCTCGACTTCTGCTAGGCTCGGTTCCTTCCGTTAATTAAAACGGAATTGAAACGGCCTCTTAATCGCACGGCAGCACCGCGCTCGACTTCTGCTAGGCTCCGCACCGAAGAAGTGCACCGCGGATAGCACCAAACTCTTGCGGAAAAGCCACAACTACAAAAAAAAAATTTCTGCCATATTTAGCGGCAGTCTGGCAACAACCACCCTTCCAGTCTGGCAACCACTCATGCAACGCCAAATGGAATCTTGCCCTTAACGCTACCCTAAACGGCACGAAACTTTTTCTTCCAGCTTTTAAAGATGATATTCTTTCTTGGGATACTTTAGCACAAATGTTTTGGTCCGTTTGTCTTTCTCTTGTGTGTCACACGGTTCTGCCAACCGGCGAAAGTTTAAGCATCCCCTTATGGCCCAGCCAGCCGTCGTGATCTGCTCGCTGCGTTCATACTCGTGAGCATTCATTGTAACACAAAAAGCAAGTATTACGCGCTTTTGAGGTAAACAATAATACTTAAGCATATGGATGCATATTTCCCTGTTTCTAAAAGAAATAAATACGCAATTCTAAAGAATCGCAGTGCTTCGCGTACTCTGACGCTATGAACGAAAAGGCGGATGTTTCTTACGCTTCACTAAAACGACATGGTGCTGCCACCTACCAGTAGCCCGGCGTTGTAGAAAAACCTTTGTTTCGTGAAATTACTGCCAGATGACGTCCTCACCTCACGCAGCCTTACCGGCCTACCGGCGCAGAACATCAAATGAACGTTTTATTCTCTCTCTCCAGACAGAAGATCGACGACCTTTCCCAGTGAACCACGTAAATCAGCGGTCAATTTTTCTTTGACACCTGCTAGTATACATTTAGAACGAGATATCCGTGACCAAAATACGTCAGCAAAGTCTTGCTGAACCCCGGAATAAAGCACTTTCGGGTTAAAATTCCCGATGATTACGATACTGTCTAATGCAAAATCTGAGCACAGGTGTTTAGCTGTCTTGATTTAGCGATAGATTGAGGCAAATGTTTCTATTTATACGGCGCGCTGCTGTGTATTTTGGCGTCGGTTGGTGGCATTGAGCCTTTGCTCAGGCGGCTCGTTTAGCAGCAGCGACAGGGAAAGCATTTTCACCAGTTGCGTCGTTCACTGTTCAGAGATAACTTGCTGAGATTGTTTTGTGTACAGGTACACGGTTTACTTTATGAAGAAGACGCTGTGAAGAAGACGCCGTGTTACCGCTGGCCAGCACAGTTTCGTATTCCACATTAACTGTCGCCGGCGGAGTGTAGCGTGACTGCCTCAGGAAACCACGGAAGACAGCGCGTGGGCGCGTTCACTCAGCAGCCGACGCATAACTGCGTGCACCACTGTGGTGCCTCACTCCTCGCTTTCCTCTTCCGCTGCTCTTCACGTTCGCTCTCTTTCGTCCTCATTCTCGCTGTCGGCAACGCCGATGGCACTCAACGCAGGAAGGGCAACCTAAGAGTGCGATCTAGAGCGTAAACTCGTAGCACAGCAACAAAAGCTTAATAAAGAATCCCCGTGGGATGGTTTCACTGCAACGGCTGAGCAATGGATGCAACAGAAGCCAATTGCAATGTTATGCGATGTAAAGCTGACAGCTTACCCTTATGGATACGATCCAGTGTAACTTTACAAAGCATTGACCACTTCAGGGTGTGAAGCAGTTTTTGTGCTATCTTTCGTCTCAACGTGAAGTATGCGGTAATAGCAAAACATGCAGAAGAACATATGAACGGCCTGCTGATGCCTTCCGAGGTGACATACGCTAGTGCGCGCGACCATGCTCTTTTGATCACGCAGTTTTCGCTCGTGAGCTTGAGCACGTGCACTATTAGACATTTGGCACCGATCCTCTATGGTTAACAAGAAGATGCTTCACCACATAAAAACTAATGCAGCGAAGTTGATCTGAAAAGAAACCTGCACCGGCCCCCATAGTGAATAATATGGTTTACGGAAACGCATAGATGTTTTCCAGCTATTTTCCTCGCACAGTAGATTATTACTGAAGAAATGCCGAATTCACGCATTATTCCCTAAAGTTGCGCATATAAGGCGTTCTTCCAACATCAAGTGCGTTGCACTAAAGAAAAAAAAACGTAGTAGTCGGGGACTCAAAGTAGGGATTCTCTCAGGCATGTTATTGGTACTATCTTGAATGAACACTCACAGGGCGGCTTACTATATAACCATCACTTACCAGGAGCCTGCGTGATAAGCTTTAACTTCGACATTGATCGAATCAAGCAACACCCACTTTATGACAGATAGAGAAATAAAGTAATGGTGCAATATTGACTGAGATAAAAAGAATTTAAAAAAATCTCATTCAGTTAAAATACCCATAATTCGACATTTGCTGCACCGATAAACCTGAAACCCTAACTGTCCAATTCGATGCGGTTATGAACGAATACTACTAATTGTGCCTATATTAAAAGAGTACCTTACGAGAGTTTATGGTTGAACGATATGATTCAGGCGCGCTCATGCGACGCAAACTGTGTTTTAAGATGGCCTTACTGTCTCATGATCCTGCATGAACATGTGATGACCTTCATACTGAACCGACCCATAGTTGTTACCGCTGGTCGTTCTTTGTTTAATGAATTCATTTCACTTATTCCTAGGAGCAAATATAGTTTGTGTAAGACTATTTAAGCATATACACCAGTGATTTTTCGTGAACGAAGTCCTAAAGATCAGACGGTTGTAAAGACCAGAAGTAAAGGTAGGCAACGTCTCATACTGCCTGTCAGATTTACTGCATTTCTTATCGCGAGCCGCTCGTGACATGCAACTCACCGGAGCTGAATGTGCCGTAGTGGGCCCTGAGTATGGCCTGCCACGTGTGCACCAGCAGTGCACCTCCTCGGGACACGATGACAGGCGGCAGCTGGGAAGTGCACAACGTGCGCAGCAGGGGCGAGTCGACACTGTCGCCATCGTGAACAGTCACGTTCGAGTGGAGGCACTCGTTGGGTGGCAGGCTCAGGTGTGTGAGTGTCAGGCTCACTTGCTCGTCTGTGCAAAAGGATTTAAATGAAGAAGTATGAATAAAAGGAGGCCACCGCATTGTTGCCTTCAGTGGGCAAAAAAAGACCGATGAGTCACCTTTTGCTCTTTGATTTGGTCTTTCTTGTTTACATCTGTTGTTTAACCTCCCGAAACCACGTGATTATGAAAAACGTTGTAGTGGAAGACTCCGAAAATTTCGACCACCTGGTGTTTTTCACCGTACGCTGAAACAGCACAGTACACTCGCATCTGTTAGCACCACGAAGTAAGGGTGGTGCCACCTGGCGGAAGGCCTGGGTGACGTCACGGCATGGACTCTTCGATGCCCGCCACGGTTTTCCGCTGTTTGTGTTCGCTTTTTGCTTGTATGAAGCAGCAGATGAAAGACGAAAACCGAATCGAAAATGTTCTGGACAAAACAAGCAAAAGTTAACGTTTGCTTCTGTGCAATAACCAACGGTGCTCGCGCTCGATCGTAGCTCACTATTAAAGGGGTGTGCAGGCCTCTGTCGCGCTGTTGACCTCTATGATGGGTTCCATTACTGGTCACGGCAGCCACATTCCAACGGATGTGGAAAGCAAGAACAGGCTTCTGCTTAGATACAGCAAGCTTATTGCCACACAGTCATGTCGTGATTTTGATATTAAAGAAACCCTATCTACATTAATAGGTTCAGTTGTTCATGGGGATTCCTTCAAGAGACATGAGGGTTTTACCTCCGCAAGCGTTATTTGTACCGGACTGAACAATGTATCTACGAAAAGTGCTTTTACTGTTGTGCCAAGCCGCGTGTTTACGTGCAGTGTCGAGTCTCCAATGTTATCACAAATGCACTCGCAATATAAACTACCGCCACAGCTGTTGTAACTGCTTTCCTCGTGTACTTGCTCACTCACCACGTAGTCTAGTTTCATAATTTTCCCGCAATACTTTTGGTGCTTCATTTCAACGAAAATATTGGAGTCTGGTTGAGGGTGTGTACGGATTTTTTTCATTATATTTGTCACATTCTGTCTTCGTGCAGCATCGCAGGAATGGTGCTGACGCACTCGCAAGGACCTGCTTAGGTAGCCTCCAAGTATATTACTTTTTCTAGCAGTTGATTACCTGTAGGTAGACATGGCGTGTAAGACCATTTGTTGCCTCATCGAGGTGGATCTTGGGTCACATCGCTGACTGCGTCACGACGACTTTCTCGCGTTTCTTTTGGAATGGTTGCTATCAGCGGGGTTCCCACGTGAAGTGAACATTACCATTTTTGGCGTGATAGTATATCGGACGAGCATTTCATGCAAATAAGGATATATGACTACATAATCCATGGCGATTGTTGAGAAAAAAATTGTACACATGATCCTAGTGAATGGACATCTCCACATTTTCGAAATCGCTGTGTGTGTGGCAGTATTATTTTGTTTGATTTCCGAATATGTTAAGCGACGCCTTTCAAATACAGATTCATACAAAATGTCCAGTTGCAGATAGTACTATTTTGTCAATTTTTTTAGAATGTCTTCTACTGCAGGCGTAACTTGCACTGTAAACCAAGATATATGGAGTGAGTTGAAAACGTCCTGATTACACTATAGTGCATGATACTTCGGCACCCATATGCTTTAATCCTGGAGTGTATGCCCAGCAGTGATCACGCTATAGCACCATTAGGCATATTTTCTTTACTCATTTCTCGGTGTACGTGATGAAAACAATGAGCATGTTCCTATCTGGCATCCCCATTTTCAAAGCAACTCTTCTGTTCGTACGGCCGTTTGCTTGTGCTAAACTAAACTATGAGAACTTTCTGCAGCTTGTAGGGTTTTCGCTAGTTGTGAAACCTTCCACCGAGTACCTTGAGAGATTTGCGTCACGACATCTAGCAGTAATCACCACCGCATCACTAGAGAATGCGTACACAACTGGCGCAAAAAAAAAAAAAAGGTGACATGCGGTAGCAGAGCAGACAAGTCCTTGCCGTGACGTCACATCGCCGCAACCGCAGTGAGGCCAGTGTTCATTCTCAGGGCTAATTGCCTTTTGCCGCCATCGAAATACGACCACCATGGCCGGGATTGAACGCGCGTTCTTCGGGTCAGCATCCAAGCACCAATATCAATCGCTGGTCCACCGAGGCGAACCTACTCTTTGTTGTCATCACTTCATTTAAATTAGGTACACTGCGAACTATGAATCTGCTTCCTATTACTACTTCACTTCTTGTAAGCCATATCCGGCTAGGTCACTTGATATATTGCATGGTGATTGATATTTTCTTTGTACTGCTTTTAACAAGTCAATTGATTAATAATCGATCATTAATTTGCCAGTGTTTTGGGGTGCCTATATGTTTTTTAACCTATGGAGTAATTATTACGTGGTTCGGAAGAAGTGCACGTAAATACGTGACATTACAGAAGATAGCATGTTGTGCACCTTAGATAAAACTAACCAAGCCCCGGGACACCAAACCACACGGATAAATTGGAGGGCCAGTGATATTTTCAAGGAAATGCGAAAGAAGATCATAGAAATAATAAGGAAGCCAAATAAAGCTTCGGTGGCTATTGAAGCCCGTACAAAGCACGTAGACTATTTAACATAGTTGATTAGAGAAATAAAAGAAGGAATTTGTGCCTGTTGTTTATTATGTTTAAACGTAAATATAGGGAATCGGAATGAGCAGAGTAAGATATATTATGCGAATTTTGTACTGCGAGACCAATATGTAAAGTTATCCGGAAATCTGGTCATGTTGACCAAATCATTTGCCTGGCTACAAGAACTGACGATTTTCGAATCATACAATGCCATTGGAAACTAACAGGCTGTCATGCCATATTTTACTCGTACATAATGTGACGGGTAAAAATCACGATAACTTACGTATAGCGAGATTATTTATTTATTTATTTGTTTATTTGGGCATATTTACAAAATGCCTACAAAGGGGGCAAAATGAGAGTGTTGGGTTACTCTGCTTTTGCTTTCCAGGCCGGTAGAGCAAAGCAGCACATAGAAGTATTTGATACCATACGTACCAAAAATGAATAAAGGAGAAATACTGCAACAATGAAAAATAATATCGGATTCAAACAAAGCGGTTCCTATGCGACAAGCACCAAATGCATTATCAGTCATCACTAATAATACATAGAAGTTTAGGTGTATTATGAAAAACACTTAATACATTAAATATATTGCATGCCACAAATACTTTCAGCACGTTCACCCTAAAATTTTGTTCTAACAATTACACGGATTATTCATTTCATAAATTGTCTAATGTTTTGAGCATACACTGCGTAAGCAACGACCCCGTAAATCTTGCTGTACAATTGAACAATTGGGTTAACAATTGATTGTACACTATAGTGAGTCGGACAAATTGGCTCGACCAACGCAACAGTACGCAGATTATATGTAATATCTATGCTTAAGTACGTATAAGAAAATCTTTGAAAGTTATCTGTAATTTTTTTGTAGATCAACATGACTAGTTGTACCCCATAGAACTCTAGGCATGATAGTACGTTATATACACAAAAAAGAGACATAGTTGTGGCGACCGAGGTAGTTAGCAGACGTAGTGCGCCTTTCTGAAGAATAACAATACTTTCACTATTTGTTTTGTTACATGTACCCCAGACTAGAATACAATACGTGATTTGTGAGTGGATAAAAGAAAAGTACAGCTGCCGTTTAACGCTCCCTGGAAGTAGATGGTGCAAGCGTCAAATTGGACTTATAGACTTTGTTGCCTTCATTTGAAGGTTATTCAGATGTTCGGACAAACTAAGGTAGCTTTGAAAACATACGCCGAAAAATTCAATTGCTTTCCCTGTACAATATTTTTGCCATAGAAAATGAAAAAAAAAGTACAATCTACAGGTCTATTTTTTGTTCGAAGAGCATAAATTTATTTTTTTCATATTCAGTACTAACTGGTTCACTGTAAACCACAATTTTAGTTCATCCAACCACAAATTTGCAGTTGTCTTAATATCACACAAATCTGAACCAGAAAAGAACACATTAGTATTATCGGCGTACATGACTATGTTTGATGTAAAAGAAATGCTTACCATGTCGTTGATGAAGAGCATACAAAGTGAAGTACCAAGTATTGATTCTTGCAGAACCTCATGCTTAAATATACCTAAGTCAGACTTAAACTGATGAAGTTCTACATATAGTTTTCTTGCCCAGAGGTAGCTTTTCATTAGGCCAAGCACAATTCCGCGTATTCAATACATTTGTAGCTTCTGAATTAATATGACATGTTTTATTGAATCAAAAACCTTACGGAAGCGCGGACATATTCCTATAGTGTAAAGCTTTCTTTTTTCGAAGTTTTGAAGAAAGCTATACTTATTACGAAGTAGCGCAGTCATTCTAACTGGTTAAAATCTACAGTGTTTTCACATTACAGCCCTCTTCGCTGTAAAATAATGTAGCGTCTTATTTGTGAAGTGTTCCGTGACCTTTGCGAAAAACGTTATTACGAATATAGGACGACGATTTTGAATTTTACTTTTCATACCTCTTTTAAAATGATCGTTACGCGATCTATTTTGATGGCACATAAGAAAAAAATTCCCAAGAAAAGGATCGTGTTGCATATGTAAGTGAATAGAGTGATAATCGCACTAATAATTGTCTTGATAGGTGTTATGACAAGGCCATCTTCGTCTGGGGAAATGTTCTTTAGTGAGCATACGGCAGTGGCTACTTCTTTTTCGGTACCGGTGATAAGAGCATTGAATTAGTGAATGAACTTTCGACATAGCAATCAGCTGGTTTAAGATCAGACACTTGCGTCATATACTTGGCGATCCTGCACCCAGAAAGTGAAGGTTAAATTTATCTTGTAGTGCCTTGCAACTTATAGCGAATGTTGCTTATTTGTATATCGCGAGGAACGGTGGCCTGATTTTTTTTCTATCAATTTATACCCTGAGTTACAAACCATTTTTTCAGTTAGCAATCATTGTAAAAAACTTGTAGCCATTGAAATCTATTTTCGCTTTCTTTAGGTCCTTGTTTAGATTGTCTCAGAACGTTTCAAACTCTGCGAGATTGCTATTTTTGTTTTTAAGAAATGCAGGAAAAGTTTTTTTTTTTCATATAAGCGTTTAGTAAGTGCCGGTTTAATCCACCTCTATATGTTGCTCTCCTGTGTTTCTTTACAACAGCGTACGAAAAAGCAGAATTGTGGCCACCAATTGTCGCCACAAACAGTTTGTATGCCTCAGGTGGATCAGGTTTTCGATACAAGTCATCCCCATAGCAGGCAATGCTCTATCGTGAATATTTTGGCATGACATCAACACCTGCACATTGCTTTACTATCAAGTTCACCATAGCAGGCTGCGAAGACTAGCCATTAATTTGGCAGAACGGTCGGTGAGCGTACTTGGCTGCGATGTACGGATGATCCATGAACACTCGGTGTCGGGACTGTAGCGTGGATACTCCTTCGTGCTGAAAACTCCTCCGATGTCCGCGTTCAGCGTAGCTCCACAACCTGCATTGAGAGGTGAAGAACGCCAGTGTTTTACCACGTACAGACGCCACACGCTGGCCAGTCGGCGCTACAAAAAAGAAAAAAAAACCCTGCCCACTGGTGCCTTCCTCACCGCAGTCCTGGCGCTAACTGAGTAGTTCACGGGTCTCAAACTCAACAGAGGTCAGTGGGCCGCATTCCCACAATTTAATCCTGCAAGGGCTTGAATCAATGAAGGGGGGGGGGGGGTATTTCAGTGCACGCTGCCATTTGAAACAAAACGTGTCCGAGATCTCGCGTAGCGAGTCATTTTTGGATAATAGCTGGCCTCAGGATTCCAGCATGTCGATACTAATCTCCAATATGACAAAGCAGGGAGGCCTACTCTGAAATACAGCGCTGTTTCACGACAGCCTATCAGCACACGGTGACCGCAGATAATGCCTTACGAAAAGAATGCGTTAGCCCTATCATGCCTGAGTGGCTCAATAACATAAATGCTTATTAAGACAAAAAATATACAGAACATGTGTGGGCCGCGGGCCCCAGGCGAGAGGTTCACGACCCGCAGGCCACGTGTTTGAGATCCCTGGAAAAGCAGAATCGCCCGCCAACGAATGTGCATCGGCCAGAGCAGAAACCCCTCCCTCGTTTGTGTCGAGGCACGGTTTACTGAATATCAAGGATCCAGAGAGCTTGTTACGCAAGTCCATGCTGCAGAAAAGTAGGAAGCTCATCGATGCGAACTGCGGATACAAACTGCGCCAAAAGACGTTCAAGCTGTTTTGGTGCGCTGCAACTGTCCAGTACAAGCGAGCATCACACAACATCTAGTGCGTGGAAGCCCTCAGATGTATGCTTTTTATCTGAGAGCTTTGAATTTGGGTGTATGCATAACACCTAAGTGAGCGACGAAGTACGCAGTCGACCAATTCAGTTAGCTACGTATCATGCGATCTGTGGTACAAAACTCGCTTTTTCAGAGATAAATGGCTCCGGAAATTTCCGCTTTTTCAGTCGCGATCTGCAATTATCTCAAGCGTCCTATGAGGTGGGCTATTCTATTACGCATTCTAAATTGTTGTGGTGGTTGCTATGGTCCGTTTTTATGTAATGTGAATGAGGATACATGCGTGTCCACTTTCGCGGGATACAGCATAATGCGAAACGATTGCAAAAGCCACCTTACTTCTGGTTATCATGGAGGCCGCCGGCAAAACGAACAATAAATGTGGTGTACCGACACACACCATATTAAATGACCTTAAAATATGAATAGACGCTCGCTTGCTGCTCTCCGTACCTTTTCTATATCTACAACATTTGTCATGACGTCGCCTGTACATCGCGAGTAACAGACGCTGCCGCTTGGCGAATAAGGGCCTGCTTTTGAAAGAAGATGGGCGAGCTTTCTGCGCTTCAATCTAGAAGGCTGATAAATGGTACTTGGACAGGTGGACAGAGAAGCTGACGAACATATCCTAGCGAATGAAAGAGGGAAACGAGGAAACGAGTGTAACTTCGCCACCATGGCTTGTGCACAACTGCAACACCTCAACAAAATTTTGACCTCTGTATGCTTAAGCGGCCCTCCAAGCTAAATCACTGTTCTGCACTCGCCAGTTGCCCCTGGTTCTACATCAAACTGTGCGAGGGAGCGGGACTTCGTACTGTGTGTTTGGAAAAAGTGCTTAACGATTTAGAGGACTCGGTACTCTACTATGAGAGAGCTGAAAGCCGTCCCTGAAGCCATAGAAAAATTCGCACTGTGTGTTTAGAAAAAGTGTGAAACGATTGCGAGTACTTCGTACTCAACTATGGGAGAGCAGCCTGCCGTCCCGATTAGTCATTAAGCCATTCAGCATTTGAGCCCAGTACCTCTCTGAGAAGTGGCGCCCGGTGTCTTGCAAAAGTAGGGAGCCTTCATCCATGAAACGGACGTGGCGCACACATGAAGGCTCCTTTTATAAAAATTCACAGCCAGACGTCCGCTTAGAAAGAGTGGTTAATGACTTAGAGTACCCAGTACCCTACTATGGGAGAGCATAAAGCTGTCCCGGGGGCCTTCTGTAGAATATGAACACCTCACCTACGCTTAACTAAAATTTGGTATGGGGCCTGGTGAGTGGCCCTTTCCCATGCTATTGCGCCTATCGCAAAAATGAAATACAGATACAACGTATTGTGAGCACAGCACGTGACCTCCTTTCTCCTTGAAATCTTTTAGTGCTGATAATATGAGCAGGCCTCACGGAAGGAAACATGTCAATTTAGGGCGAAATAATGCTCATAATTTCATTTCAGACATCTTTACTCTGTGCTGCATTTACATAGTACGCTTACATTATTATTACATCATACACTAACACCAGAGAAAACATTACCTTCAGTGGTTAGGTCTGCCGCGATTGCACGTAGTTGTCTTAATAATTCGTACATAACAGATGTAATACACGAGATTTCTTTCATAATAAATGTACTTCAGAAGTAGTTGGTGCATCTCTAACTTAAGCAAGATAGGCAAAGTTGATGTCTCTCGTGTCATCTGAAGCAGTATCCTACAGTGGGCTGCTTATGATTGGACTTTCTGTGAAGCGCTGCGCTTCTCACGCGAATGTAGCGACCGTATGACCTGCTGCCCAACCTGGCTGAGAAACTCGGTTCGTGAAAGAGAGATCTCAAAGGTTCACTTGCCAGTGGTGTAGTGTGCCTTAAAGCCCTTTCCAGCCGAGACTCCAGAAGCCTTCATTCTCAAACGAAGTTGGTTGGAGGAGCTGGTGATATTCACTTGATCCGGAAGTGAGTTCCCACAGTGACGCAGCAGCAGTCTGTCACCGCCGGCGCGCAAGTTGTCGTAAACCTGAAACATGTACAGCGATAGTAGTCCAGTTCCATCGTGGCGTTTTTGTAACACTACGCCAGTAATAATTTTGCAGTAATAACAGTTTTGCGGAAACAACATCTTCTGATGTGTTACGTGCCAGAATCATGAAGCGCGTCATAGAGCGGAGGACACCTGCATTTAGACCATGTGGTGTTCTTCAAATTGCGCTCCGATCTAACTGTAAACAGGTTCTAATTATTGCACCCGCATGTAAACGCGACCACCCCTTGAACCCGGGGCCTAAGACGTGAAGAGGGCACAAAGTAGATAGTGTTGGAGGACAGCGACAAGCAAACAACACACACACACACACACCACACACACACACACACACACACACACACCACACACACACACACCACACACACCACACACACACACACACCACACACACACACACACCACACACACACACACACACACACACACACACACACACACACACACACACACACACACACACACACACACGCACACACACACACACCACACACACACACACCACACACACACACACACACACACACACACACACACACACACACACACACACACACACACACACACACACACACACAACACACACACACACACACACACACACACACACACACACCACACACACACACACACAAATCAGTGTTTCTGCGTGCTTGGCGTCTTCTCTTATTCCTCGTAGGAGCTCTAGTCCTTCTTTATTATTGAAAAGCATGATAGAGAAAAAATTTATTAAAAACTTAGAGAGTTACTTCAGGCATGGCATGTTGCCCCTAGCTGTAACAGATAAACTAAATTAAACAATTCTCGCAGTGCGGACGTGACTGAGGAGACTACATAGCGGTACTCACGGCCAGGTAGCTGTCGGAGCAGTTTGTGCTGGCAGGCATGCTGAAGTCGAGTATCTGAAGATTGACCACATGACCCTGAGCGACACGTATCTCCCATGTGCAGTCGTCCTGGGCGTCGTAATTCTCCGGATATCCGGGGGACGTAATGTCAGCCGACGGCGTCGAAAAGCGGCCGCCGCACCCTCGTCGGTCGAAACGGTACGTGGCGCGGAAGCCCTTGCCCTGAATCGAGACGTCGCTGCGAAAGTGCACCGTCATCGTACCACCGGGCGATATCAGCTCACTGACGCGGCTGGAGGCGCTGCAGATCTCGGCAATCTTGGGTGACGTGAGGTCAGGCCCAGCGTACACCTACGAGGGCAGATTCAACATCACGTCACGCATCAGAACGCGATGGCGTGGAAACGAGCAAGACAAGTAAATGGACGCCGCCCTTTACCACATAGAAAAAGACCGAAATGTGGATGAGGTTCCAGCCACACTCTTATTTTTTTCTATTTATGGCTTCACGGCCTTAAGTATCGTAACGTTAATTTGGAGACTCATAATTAATGATGGAGAGCTGCTGCTATCTAAACAATAGTTGTCACGATTTAACGACCCAAAACCGCCAAATGATTATTATGGCCGCGGTAGTGGTGGGTTCCGGAAGCTTTGACCATCTCTTGTCTATACCGTACTTTTCAATCTGAGGACAAGGGCTTTGAGCTTTTCCCCTCCTAAGAAATTCTGGAAGCGAAAACTGCAAAACTGGCATTCCGGGAGCCAGGATTTGAACCCGCTACCTCCATGTTAGCGCTTAAGCACCATAACCTCTATAAACCACGAGGTGGGTGTCTGGTTCTTCAGAATACCGCAATATAACAGTACAGTCACGCAATCATTGCAGATTGTGACGACATCAGAATATATCTTCTCATCACCAATGTAGCCACTGAACGGATAACGCGGTAGATTGAGTAATTTTTACTGTATATCACAATATACTGGCGTTTTGGTTTTTATTTGTAAAGTGTGAATGATGAGAATACCTCTAAAAATGATCGTGGTGTCAGACATTATCGTCATCATCATCATCATTATCATCATCATCCCGACTACGTCCACGCAGGACAAAGGCCTCTCCAACGTTCCACCAATTAACTCGGTCCTGTGCTTGCTGCTGCCAATATATACCCGCAAACTTCTTAACCTCATCTGCCCACCTAACCTTCTGCCTCCCCCTAACCCGCTTGCCTTCTTTGGGAATCCAGTTAGTTACCCTTAATGACCAGCGGTTATCCTGTCTATGCGCTACATGCCCAGCCCATGTCCGTTTCCTCTTCTTGATTTCAACTATGATATCCTTAACCCCCGTTTCTTCCCTAATCCACTCTGCTCTCTTCTTGTCTCTTAAGGTTACACCTACCATTTTTCTTTCCATTGCTCGCTGCGTCGTCCTCAATTTAAGCTGAACCCTCTTCGTAAGTCCATAGGTTTCTGTTCCGTAGCTAAGTACCGGCAAGATACAGCTGTTATATACCTTCTTCTTGAGAGATAGTGGCAATCTACCTGTCATAATTTGAGAGGGCTTGCCAAATGTGCTCCCCCCCATTCTCATTCTTCTAGTTACTTCAATCTCGTGGTTCGGCTCCGCGGTAATTACCTGCCCTAAGTAAACATAGTCTTTTACAACTATTACATATCTATGTAATAGTTGTAAAACTTATTACTATTACATATCTCGAAGCGCTGCTCTTTTCTGAGGTGGTTGTACATTACTTTCGTTTTTTGCAGATTAATTTTAAGACCCACCTTTCTGCTCTCCTTGTCTACCTCCGTAATGATGACTTGCGATTCGTCTCCTGAGTTACTCAGCAATGCTACGTCATTGGCGAAGCGCAGGTTACTAAGGCACTCTCCATTAACTCTTATCTCTAACTGTTCCAATTCTAAACTTCTGAAAACCTCCTGTAAGCACGCGGTAAATAACATTGGGGAGATTGTGTCTACCTGCCTTACACCCTTCTGTAGCTGGTGAACTTGGTCGGCCTATAGAGTCGTCGACCAGAGGTCTCCCGGATGTCTAGGGGCCCAACCACATTTATATAGATTTTTTTTTCAAATTATTGTATATCCATCCATTCAAGGTTAACGACATTCTTTGTTCCTGATGCGGAATTCAAGGATATCGAAGGGTTTGACAATATACACCTCGAAAAATATCCCTAGCCGATGAGAAATCACACTCCATCTGCATATCAGTTTTTCAGTGATATCGGAATCATTGCTTTCAGCGTAATGCGTGCACCGACATTTCACATAATCACTACCACGTGGTTTCACAAACACTGGTCCCATCACACTTACCCTGACAAAATCGAAGGGACATCCACTGCTTGACTCGAGGTGCATGTCTTCGAAGGACAGCTGCACGCGTTGTCCAAGCGGCGCCTTGATGAGCCACAGGCATTCCGTGTTCTTGGGGTAGCCGTGCGGGTAGTTGGGTGTCTCGATGGTTCCCATGCGCTTGACCAGCACGCCACCACAGCCTCTCCAGGCGTACTCGAGTCGGAAGCCCCGTGAAGAGACGCTGCCGTCGGTTACGTACTGAACTGTGACGATGTTCTTCGAGGACACCACGAGACTGGGCAGCGTTATTTGACCGCAAAAACGACCCAGCCGTTTCCGATGGCCGTCGGAGTCCGTCTCGTTTATCTGTGGAATGAACCATTAAACCGCTTAAGGTTACAATGCGGACTTGTTGTTACATACTTGAGTAACTATGGTAGCGCGAGAAAACGGCACACAAGAAAGTAACACGGAGGCACACAGCGGCGCTGTGTGTATGTCTCTGTCTTACTTTCTTTTAATTGTGTAGAACTTCCTTGAAACGCTATAGCAGTGGAACATATACTTTGCGACGTTTCATTCAGTCACAATTCATCTATTACAATTGTCATCAGATTAGACAACACCACGCTTTTGTTACTGACCCGACCGACCAGTTGACACAACGGTAAGGTCGAAACGAACGTATATCAGACGTCAATGTACTATTGCCTCCAAATAAATTCACAAGTAGATTCTTTCTATCTGTCGGGCTTACCATCCTGCTACAGAGCCAATAAATATGCTTTAAGCTGTTTAAACTGACAGCAATCCATTCGTTCTTTATAAGTTCTTTATGCGATATAACAACTGCATTTACTTGCTAGGACAAGGCTGCGCGTCTTGGTAATTTTCATTACTCGGTACTGCAGTTGGCGTTGTATTGAAAGTTGTGATGTTTCCTCGCTTTGTTCTATATTTAAGCAACTCTATTTTGTGTTGCCTTATATATATAAATTGTGATATTGAAACCCCCCTTTTTTACTCTGCTCTCTCATTATTAAGCTTTCGGTACGTGATGTGTTACGGTCTGACCAGGAGCATACTCATTTTTGCTGTGAACTAAAGATGATACAGACCCACACAAAGGTTGCCTTCGAATGCAGTCGAACTCAAATTATGCAGTAAATTGTAGGCTATGTAACAGAACGCGAAGTACAAATACGTTTAGTCTTCTATTATATTCAACTCGTAAGTTGCAAACCACAACCCGCCTGTCAAAAGTTTCATAGGGCGCAAATATACACATGCACACACATAAAGACTCTCTTGGAAGGGCGGATAGTTGAGAAAACTGCTTTTATTAGTAAACCCAAAATTATATATGGTGGCTGACCGAGTGAAGGACGCCAGCTTGTACCAACCCCGAAATCGCTTTATTGCATCATATTTAAAGCCACATTGGGCGCAGAGGTTAGCAAGATAGCGCGAAATTGAACAAAGGAACGCTTGGGCTCCAAACCAAGGAGTGCGCACAAGTAGATTGTATACATAAATACACTTTGTGTACATGAATATTGTGTAGGGCATTCTGGTAGACCATTGTTCAACTGCTAGCAGTAGCAAGTCGTATTTTATTAGGCTCATTATTAGTCGTATTTTATTAAAAGCCATTAGGTCTTCCCTCAACATGCGTCTGAATTTCTCTCTTCAAAAGAAAAAAAAAACATGTGTGCCATAAGGCGTTCCTAATGTCGAGTGGTGAAAAATAAATTAAAAACAAGCAGTTCAATGTAATTCTGCACCCCCCCCCCCCTATACATATACTCCATTATTGATGTTGACTCCTAATGCTTTTTAAAAGACCTACTTGTGACATGATGGCTTGGTGTTCCGTGTATGTGGTGTGTTAACCAAGAATATTATGTGGCTTGCTGATACATTTTCTGCACAAAAAAGTTCTGTTCCTTTTTTCGGTTGAATCGCATTCTTTAAAATTTCCTGAACTTGATGGCAACATCAAACGGGAAAATTTTGACCATAAAAACCGGACGTTCACAAGAACGACATTGACAGCACAGGAACGAGATAGGTAGGAACATTCTTTTGTACTCACACTACCACGAGGATACACTTATGCAGAGCCTGCAGCGAACTTAGAAATACCCCATGTAAGGTTATTTTGTAACATTTGACGGAAGCATACTTTACTGACCTATCGTTTTATGAGAAAATATATTTTAAATGCTTTAATGCTGCGAGTTATTCTCTCTATTTCATTTGTATATTATAGATCTAGTGAAACGCCAGGTTCGCAAAAGGAGTGGCCAGGATTCGAGACCGGTTTGATAACGAAATACATTGAGAAAAAGTTTCCACCGGAGATATTGTTTTAGTTTTTGTGGGAATTTTCTTTCCTTTTGAGACGCTAAAATGTCTCTTAAAATCTAACTCAACAATCTGAACAGCCCGTATTTGTATTCTTTTTAAAGTGGACACATCGCATGCCTCGCACTTTCGTTGCTACTGGTCTCACGCCAATCATTGCGCAAGGCTGCGGACTAGCTGAGCTACCTGTTGGTAACTTTTCTTTGTTGTACTCAACGTCACAAATTACACATCGTAGAAATAAAACTTGACTTCATTGAATTTATAACAATAAATGAGTGTTAAAATAGAGTGCGCACTCGCATACAGAATAGGTGGTGTGCTTAATTAAGAAAATTTTGTAGGTGATGACCGATGACACGGCTAGTATTTGGCGATAGGTGCGAGGAACCTTTGAGAGACAGCTGACGGAAGCTAAATAATTACGGGTATTTACGACGGTTACACTAATGACAGCCTCTAAGCACGCGTTTGGTTGGGAGCATAGAAGACGTTACCTCCACATAGTCGTAGGTGCAATTGTTATCGTGTTCCAGTTCGAAGAAGGAGAAGGCGATGGAGATGTTGTGCCCCGTGAAGGCCTCGATAGTCCAAGTGCAGTTGGCGTTATGTGGCGAAGGTTCTGGGTAGTTCGGGCTTTCGATGACGCCATGGCGCTTGTTGACGATATGGACGTTGCAATCTGCGCACGCGCGTTATGAGCTTAATGAACACTGAAAAATGACTTTCCTCTTATTAGTAAACTACTTTTACTCTACCGAAGTCAGCAAGCTTGCCGCTAGACGGCAATGGGTAAGCCAGAAAGCTAGAGTCACTGGAAAAACTTTCAGAGTACCGATAAAGTAGGCTGCACGCGGGCAACATTGAGCAGAGGCGGCCATTTTCCTTCTAGGCTGTACGAAGCGTTGCTGGCAGGCGTGGAAACCAAACCGACCTTTCTGCCTCGATGCCGTGTTACGCTAATCTGAACTGGAATATTTGTGTGTGTTTCTTCTCGATGATACTAGAAGCAATTTCTAGCCACAGACGGTTCTGAATGAACTGCACAGTAAGCAGCGTGATAGTGAATGCAAGGTGCGGTGAGTATCGCCATGTGCTCGCAAAGTTCCTTCATGGGCATCATGGTTTCATCAGTCTGGTCTTGTCTCGGGTGTGTTCAATCGGTACGGAGGTGTATGTGTTCGACTTCACGCAAGGGGCAGTTTAGTTCTACATTAGGGGAACATTACATGTTTGCGCTAACATTGAAGTCTGCTAAATGTGCAGTCGCTGTACAGGTTCACTTCACAGCCCGATGGAGTGTTGCTCCTGGCGGAATTTGATTCTGTGTCTGTACGAGTCTTTCTTCACGATGATATAACAGGTGATTTCCAGTTATCGATGTTTTTAACTAGATGGCGTGGTGTGATGCTACAACTAATCTGTGGCCAATGTCGCCGTGTGCTCAATAACTCTCTTCATGGCTTCACCAGACTCGTTTCGTGTCAGGGTTGGGCTCGCTAGGTACTTAGGTGAACGTGTTCAGTGACTTCCCGCAAGACGCCATTCACTTCTTCACTACGTGAGAACTTTCGTGTTTGTGCTGACGTTTGAGATGTGCTAAGTGTGTAGGCATGTGTTCAGATTTACTTCACAGCGCTCGATAGCGTTCCTTGATTGATAGCTGAATTAAACCTTGCTCGCGTATCTTGCTTGCTGTTCCCCACATGTGTAACAGAAGTGGTGTCTCTACAATCATTGGAAATCGTGCGCGACGCAATTATGCCTCGGCTTGGAACGCCAGCAGCTCGACGTATGGGTCAATATGGTTGCGGCAGCTACTCATCTATTTTGTTTGCGAATTTTCTAACTGATTCGTAGACAAGTAGGTGGTTAAAAACTAGCCGACAGCATCTCAGTGACCCGAGATGAGGCGCGTTTTTAAGATTTTTTTGTTTTTCAACATAAAATTTATTTTGTTAACGTCGAAAGCGCGTGATCAGCGGGTAATTCGGTTCCATTTCAACTTTTTCTTCATCATGTGCGCTTATTAGAGCTTTCTTGGCCCATATTTCTTAGATTATTGGTCAGAATTCGCATAGCCCAAAAGTTTTCAAAGCATATGCCAAATGAACTCAGTATCACAGCTGAAAACGTACACTATGCACGTAAAGTGTTACGAACCATCAAGCGCTGCAATACTCTCATAAGGAACTGCGCTTCACGTATTTCCTGAGCAGTTGGGGTATGCCAGAAGCATTTACAAGATTAGAACGATACGAAAAAAAAGCTCGGCCTGTGAAATTCACGTTTTACTTCTATTGCACACATTCAGCTGTTCCAACAGTCCCAATAACGAGAGTAATTTACTGCAAAAATACGTACTTGTTTCATTGTGACCATTTTCGGCGACTGAACTGCATTGTAAGTGTACGCTCGATGAAATACAACGTGTTAGCATCGAAATTTTTGCAATAAGTACGCTTAATGACTTGTTCTGATACCATTTTATGTGGACAAATTTCATGAACATTCTCTAAAATAACGGTAACGTTGTGCGACAGGGGCGATAATCATTCCACAATTGCCGACAATGTCTACTTGTAAACTGCTATTACTTTATTATTATCACTTTTTTTCATGCCTGACCTGTTTATCGGAAATACATACGCAATTTTTCAAAAGATACAGGTATACATAATCGAGCAAATTGAAGAGTATTGAAGAGAGGCGCATTATTTTTAATCACTGAGCACAGTGAACGAATAAGGTAAAATATAATGCCTCAGGAAAGTGTTTTATGTTAACTTGGTGAGTTATTTTTAATCACTGAGCAGAGTGAACGAATAAAATGAAATATACTGTCGCAGCAGAGTATTTCACGCAGATTTCGCGTCAAGTCACTGCAGAGATGAGTATTCTTGGAGAGGGCGAATCTTTTGCGGTCAAGTCCATTCAGTCAGTAGAACGCTTTTCTTCGGCGTTTTTCACGCACGGATTGCGAAAACAAACGATAATCTCACTTCCCATTCAGTTGCTGCTAAAGTGTACTTCCTCGCATATTTATGGTGCGTTGAAAAAAAAAACGTAGAATTACTGCTGAGTATTCTGCGAATGCTAAAAGCTTCGCCATGCTGCACGTTCAAGTGTGCTTGCACTGAAAGCGCTTGGAAGGAATATGCTGGCGCAAGGTCACGTGATGCGAGTAAGCCAGTCGCATTGGCGGCGGCACGCGGAAAACAGATGCGATACTCTAAAAAGTTTTCAGTGACTTGATGGACGGTGTCAAAGTTTCAAGCGTTGTGCCCCCCCCAACCCCCCCCCCCCCCAAAAAAAAAAGAAAACTTCCGGTCAGCTAATTTATCAGCCCCTAACGTCGAAACTGTAAGCACGTTTTCAAGTTTGTTTCCAGGGCGAGGACAGTCTCTCTTTCGTTTTTCACACAAAAGGTCCGTGCATAGAGTACAAAAGAATCTTTTTTGACTTCAACTAGCTCAAAAGAACATTCATTTGAATATAGTTTGCCAAATAAAGCAAGAAAACTGTAGAAAATCACTGGGCTATTTTCTAAAGCCCTTGTTGTCCACCGATGCTATCAAGGCACATCATCGGAGAAAACCGCATGTAATCTAGTGCCTGTGTTTGAAAACAGTGAAAGGGTTTATAGAAAACGCGCTAGATTAAAATGCAGGTGTTCATGCCACCTTGAAATAACCTCCCCAAATGCAGCGATGCCACTGATTTTGATGGCGTCTGCTAGGTTCTATACGTAACTCCTAACAAGAAAAATTAAATACGTTCTTGCCTGGTGGATCTAAAGACTTGCCATAGTAATATAAGGAAGTTTCGTTGAGTCAATGTTGTCGAAATAGAGATTATACGTTTAAATCCGCAACAGGAAGCAGATTTTGGAGTGAAATTTGAAAATAAAAATTTGACCTAAATTTACCTGTCTATGAATGAACATATGGCAGTGAAATTAATGACATTAGAGTCTCCACACATATGAATCTGAAGCAAAATGAAATTGAATTAGGTGGACCACTTTAGGGATTGTTTAAAGCAGCCCATGCATTTCTCCCATCATATAGCGAATTGATCACTCTCAGTTGAAAAGATAATAGTTTTGTAGAAGAGTATATTGTACAGAAGTATTTGAAACGCTCGAGAACTGCAAGGAAATTATGCTATATTGACATAAGTTTTATGACCTCATAAAAAAAACTACAAAAAACGACACAAAGAAAAGCCATAGTTTTTGCAATATGAAATTTCTTTTATTCCAGGGCATTTTCTGTGGAGGCAGCGACTAAAGACTGAAACAGCCTGAGGAGGCCCGTGCCCCCGTTTCATTCATGCAACGTTTTTAAATACACGTACCATAGAGTGCACATCATATCGAAATTCGGGTAGCGCCCAATATTTAGTCGAGAAAACTGATAAAAGGACATCGATATCTTATGGTTAAAAAAATGAGGTACATTGCATGTGCACATAACAACATAATTTACCCAGAATACACATTCGTAACTTATAGGGTTTATGATTATAAAGGAGTCAGAAACACCGAAAATTAATTAGACGATTGAGTCAACCTGTTTGCTTTGCTCTTAAAACAGGCGCGTTTCGTAGCGAGCGCAAAGAAAATATAATCATCAACATCTTTGACTAGGAAGAAAAAAAAAAGTACCGGACTTTTTTTTTTGCCTTTCAGTTCTCTGGAGTATGTAAATGGGACTGTGCCATGTATACTTGTATATTTTCGTACGTGTATGGTTTGCATACTTTTTCAGTCACTTGAACGAAGGACGCGAATCTAGACCATGAGTAATGGCGAACTTACCGGTGGAGTAGACGACATGGAATCCCCGACCAGCTGTGGAGGCGTCTGTGCGGAATCGTAGAAACATGTCGTTGCCGGTGGACAGCAGTTGTCCCGGTCTCTGCTGATCATTGCATAGCAGAGCGAGCCGACTGTTGCGATCCGACGCACCGTCGAAAATCTGCGTGCGGGCCGTGAGAGCCTTTAGTGAAGGCCAAACGTTGGGGTTCTTTTAAGAGCGACAAAGCGGACAAGCAGGCATGACGACCTTAAGATGGTTTGGCAATAAGATGAGCAACAAGCAGAGCTAGCTAAGGAAGCAAGCTGACGAAAGAGAGTAGCTATAGAGAATGCGAGTTTGGTTTTTATTACGATTAGCAAATCCTGGGAAACAGACAATGCAAAAACACGCGTACTTTTAAACTTTAATGATTGTTATCGGTTAGTTTACGTCTTTCAGAAGCCCCTAACTGCGCAGGCGAAGTTGTCATAGCTAGTGGATCGCACTCGCAAAGCAAAATGTATTTGAGCCATAAAGATGACTTTGATGCTCATGATTGTAGCTTACAAAGAAACAATTTCTTGCTCTACAGGATGTGCCAGCTGACTCGGGGCAAGCTAATTGAAATAATACCGATGACGTAAGTAGATACGACCAATAGAGTTTTGTTAGTATCTTGCATAGCGGTAATTTTAGGTGCCAACCTTGAGTTAATAAAAAAATGTTGTTTACGCATTACATTCATCATTTGCGAAATGGCTAAACTTTCAACATCGCATGATATATCGCATTCGAAAGCATTTTACGAAAAAAAAAAAGGCTTTATGTCTTTTTTTAGTTCATTTCAGAATCATCGTTCGAAGCCGAAAAAGTGAGGGCCAAAATTTGATCAAGATGAAGAATGATGAACACTAACTTGTGTTCCTTCTTATGTTAACATGAAGAAGTTCAGAACACGCCACTTGTGATGACAACACTGTTCAAATAAAAAATATCACTCGATAGGCCCTAGTTACCGCGACACTTTCTCTTAAAGGGACCGACAACTGCCCCACATGAAAGGAGATGACTGCACGGATGGAAAAATTGTCCCTCATAGTGACTCCAACAAGCTGTATTTTTCTCGTTAGAAGTGGAGCTATATTTTTATTTGTTCATTAAAAATTGTGAAACTAGCCTGTGGCAGCACCTGGGGGGACAAACTTTAATTATCCCAGCTGCTCTGTGATGTGACCATAAACTAGTGTACGAACTCAATTATTTTTGATTGTTTGTTTCTATTCTTTTTGGGTAAAAACCATTACTACATAAAAATGTACTTATAGGCCTGCGTTAGTAGAGCGCAATGAAGTGAGCCCTTCTTGGCAAGATGTAATGATCCCGCGCTCGCCAGCTCGTCTTGAAAAACTTTTTTTACGTGCACATGAAACCATTCACGTAGTTTCCAGGTTGCTAAGATTTTGGAGTGATGTGGGTTTTTTTACGTCGTAGTCTCAGAAATGGCGCGTAGTGTCGTTTTCGGTGGCTTGATTTAGCTCGTGAGTCGAGAGACGGGACAAGCCATCCGCGACACAGGCGCATCAACCTTGGGCGCAAGGACACACAACGCGGTGAAAATACAGAAAAGCTGTGTAAAGCCACATCGTCTCATTGTAACGGCCTGTTATTTTCAGAAAATAGATGTAAAGCTCAGTTTAAACGTATTTAAGCATAGTTACTGGAACTCTTGAGAAAACAAAACAATGACAGTATGCACAAGTCTCCAGAAGGACTACCGGAATCGCTATCAGTTCTCAGCGTTGCTGGACAAAAGGCGTGTCGGTTTTCATATAAAAAAATGGCAGCATATCCACGGGGTGAATGATGGAGAGTGGAGCGAAGCATCCGTCCGTCTATTCGTTCTAGCTTCTGTCTGTTCGTGCGTCCGTCTGTGTGACCATCCGTGCGTCCATCCGCCCGTCCCGGCGTGCGTCTGTTCGGGCGTCCGCACGTCCATCCATGCGTCCGTCCTTGCGTTCGTCCATGAAACCGCCCCTGCGTCCATCCATGCGTCCATTCGTCCATGCAGCCATCCGTGCGTCCAGCCATGCTTCTGTCTGTGTGTCCGTTCGTCCATTTAGTCCACACTCCAAGTACCACCATCTCGCATCTTTTCATCATATATTCCGCATATAGAAGCACCGCCACCCAGCGAATATTCCAAGGACTAAACGAGACGTGGCACACGCACACTTTCTTACGGCCTGCGCTTCGTGTCTACTTCCCACCCTTAACCACCTCGAGTTCATGCTATATACTAGTTCACTGTATTCATGGCACTGCAGCCCAACGCTCGCTAAACATTTCTAAAACCAAGGAGTTTACGCCCAGCTAGTATATCGTAGCAACCCTTTCTTGTCAGATAGTGTTCAATGTACATGCCAATGACTGCTAATAGGGAATGAGAGACAGGAGAATTCGGCTTTTAGTTAACGCACACGCTGCGAATTTTTCATTGTTCAAGAACGCACAGGAGAAATCTCCCACCGGCACCAACTTGCAGGTCAAAACGTAAGACTGGTTATGCACTACGACTACGACGAGGGACGAACGGGTGCCACTTTAAGGAGCTTCGCCCCTAAAATACTACTCATAAAATAACTACATGCTTTTGGAAGTAACTACTGCAGCTGCGAATACTGCGAAGGGTAAGCTGTCTGTCGCATCGAAAAAAAAATACTGGGTTGAAAAAATTGGCTGTAGGTCCCTTGAATGCTGCGCTCCAGTTGCTGAAATTGTGTGTTGCCGACAGCAGATGGGATTATGCTCTGCGTATAAGCGTTCTATTAAACGTTTATTTCCTTGTGAGCAGCGAGAAATCCAGAGATGAAACAGAAGTCCTATAAAGTCATTTTTTCACATACTGAAAGTCAGAAATTTCCATATATTGTTTCACCCAATTTGAATTTACTGACAAAATGAGAAATATTAGAATCACGTCATTAACATGTGAATACGAAGTGGACTGAAAAGCGATGTTATGAATAGCCACGAAATCATCATGCAAAATTAAGAAACGAAGAACAGATTTGAGCAAACTTCAATTTCTTTTATTTTGCGTAATTTGTTTTCCAGGACCTAATGATAATCTATATAGAGCAAGATCGTTTGCATGAGAAGAAATCACCACTTCACTGCACGCGATATAACAAAAAAAATTAAGGTAGGCGCATAAGTGTTGGAAAGTGAACTAGCTGTACTCTGCGCAGGTCGAATGTTCCTGAAGCTGCGCAGCAAGCTATTTGAAGTTGGTCCTAAATCTCTCACTAGTTGACCAACTGCTAATGCATCGCATTGAGAACGAACGCAACATCGTGTCATACGCCGTAGAACACAAACAGGCTTAACGTTCTCTGTTACAATGACGTTAACAAAATTACGCTAGCGAAAGGCTACTTAATTTCAGCATCAGTAACGCTAAGGCTGGTCCAGAAAGTAAACAAAGCTTAATTTCGTTTGCTCCCTCGTTTGTGAAACCACTTGCCCCAGTGAAAGTAGACTACGATCTTTGAGAATTTTAATGATGATTTGGTCTCTATATCACATGGAATATCGTGCACGTACGGACACAGCAGGATTACAACTGCTATCGAGACGGTACACAACCCCTGCCTACTCTTCAGGACATCGAAGTAAACAAACGACGGAGGCTCGGACACGAGTAATTAGAAACTAAAAAAAAAGGTTTTATACGGGAGGCTGAATCAGTTTAGTTAAGGATGGTTAGCAGGGCTGAACGGGTCTGATGACGTCCGCCAGCACCCACTCTCGGACACCAGCTGACGTGAAGTGTCGCACACGTAGGACCAATCAGGGTATATTCGTTAATTAGCCGTCTTAGCTGCCTAACGAATGCAGGACACTTTTGAATAGGTTGTCCAAGTCTTGGAACCACAAGAAGCCCACGATAGACTGTCCGATAGTCATTGATGATATAGGCACTTTAGTACCTATACCGTCATACCCTTGAGTGATTACACTGACACAGAGCGAACCATGCGTTCTCGTGCGATTTTTACACCGTATGGGATAACAGTTTCTGAGAATCAACAAAAATAAATACCCCGTGAATCATTAAGTTGTGCGAGGGGAAACTTATCTGAGAAAAACACGGGGAAACGCACGAATCAGTTAAATATTTTTTAAACCAACCTAGTGCGTAAAAGAACACGACACTGCAGTGAACTAGGTGACGTTAATGCACTTTAATGCCAATTTTTTCATCAATCGTTTCATTACAGTAAAAGAACGCGCATGTAATCACCACTCTCCTACCTGTTTCAAAACTTCGCCGGGAAAAATATTTTGCCCTGTTTTTGATTTTGAGAGGGGGGCAACCAATTATTTAAAAGCGCCTGGTACTTGGTCATAGTTCAAATAGTGTGCATTTTTTATAATAAAGAGAGTTGTGTGAAGCTGCTGTGTCGTGTGTTGTACTTATTGTGATTGTGACTTATTATGTGTGTGTTGTACTTTTTTGCTCTGCCCGCTTAAAAAAAACATAACCAATTCTAACATGCCCAAATTTAAATCCTCGTGAAATGAACTTTATCTCTAATTAATTTAGGCAGGTGAGGATAATGGGAAGGCGTCAAGAAAAGGAGTTACGTACCTCCAGTGCGTCGTACCGGCATCGTATGTGTCTTTCGATGTCCATGTCGACGACGGCGAGAGAAATGCGTGAGCCCTCGTTGGCGTGTATGTTCCATCTACAATCGGCGTGGTGGCCGTACGGCTGCGGGTAGTTGGGCGACACGATACTGCCGGTGGCGCCACCCGTAGTACCGCCGCAGCCTGTGCAGTGAAGTCATCACAGTTTGAATTCTCGTACATTGCGAAGCTAGTTGAGTCACGAATTCCCGCTGACACGTGGAACACTGCTGAGCCGCTTCAGCAGCTTTTAAGAGAGGTACTTAGCATATTTTTTTCCAGGCCGAAGTATTTCCAGGGCCGAACAAAAAATTGTAGTGCTCTTTTCTGGCGAACAGACCATTGAAAAGCACAAAGAAATAAAGACGGCTGTGAGCACAAGGATTTTCACAGGATAACCATGCCCGGTATACAGGACACCAGGATTCAATTGTTCCACATGTGGGTACATACACACTGCTATCTTCCTAGAAATAGTGCTGTATTTCGCCCCGTCAGAACATTAAGCATCTTATCAAACACGAGCATGTTTCGTTTTGACCTCAAAAAAAAAAAAAAAACGCCTCTGTAGGTTAGCTGTTGCACGTAGCATTCAGCAGCACAAAAGAAAAAAATACCGAGATGGCAGCACGCCTAGCGTTCACAAGTGAACTTCAACAGAAGCCGCTTTCTCCTCGTGCTTTATGCGTTTGATAGATTCTTAGCATGTACCAGTTTAAATTTTGTATGTGAGGCATTTCTTAGCAAACTTCGGCGACTTTGAGCGTATCTATCTATCTATCTATCTATCTATCTATCTATCTATCTATCTATCTATCTATCTATCTATCTATCTATCTATCTATCTATCTATCTATCTATCTATCTATCTATCTATCTATCTATCTATCTATCTATCTATCTATCTATCTATCTATCTATCTATCTATCTATCTATCTATCTATCTATCTATCTATCTATCTATCTATCTATCTATCTATCTATCTATCTATCTATCTATCTATCTATCTATCTATCTATCTATCTATCTATCTATCTATCTATCTATCTATCTATCTATATCTATCTATCTATCTATCTATCTATCTATCTATCTATCTATCTATCTATCTATCTATCTATCTATCTATCTATCTATCTATCTATCTATCTATCTATCTATCTATCTATCTATCTATCTATCTATCTATCTATCTATCTATCTATCTATCTATCTATCTATCTATCTATCTATCTATCTATCTATCTATCTATCTATCTATCTATCTATCTAGCCGCCTACGACCTTTAGCTCTCCTGGCCGTTTCGGTAGTGGTATCGATACCAAACTTGGTATGATATAACATGACTGTACGGGAAACATAACTGACTAGCCATAACATGAAAATCATGGCATGTATGTCGAAAGTCATGATTTAGATGTCATGATCTTGCTGCTCTTGCGGTGGTTTCACTCACATGATATGTTGCAAAACTGGTGTGGTATGACATGCCTGCATAGCGAACACAAGCGACAGACCCTAAAATCAAAATCATGACATGCGTGTCATGTAACATCATGACTACATGCTACGCTCATGATGCGCTCGCGGCCGTTTCGCTAGCTTCACATGTACCGAATTTGGTATTACGTGACGCAAACGGACGATATAGCTAAATGACACATCCAAACATGATAATGACAACCTGCGTGTCTTGTAACAACATGACTACGTTCCACACTCATGATGCGCTCGCGGCCGTTTCGCTATCTTCACATATACCGAAATGTGCCGCTATCATATACGTAATGTGAATGGATGACGAAGGTATGTGACTGATGCAAACATGATAATCATGAGATGCGTGTCATGTAAGAAGATTAATACACGCCACACTCAAGGCGCCAGTACACTTCAACGTGAGCCGGCGCGTGTGTGTGCCGGCGTTCGTTTTATCGCGTCACGCCGCTGATGTAACGCAAGCCACCAATATCCCCCTAGTGAAGATCTGCCCATTGAGATGGCGCATTTCGCGCCGGTTGCCACCTGGTCGCGCCGACGGACGCTGGTTGCGGCGGTTGCGCCTGGCGCCACACTATAGAGTGCTCGCGTTTTGCTAGCATGGTGTCACAGCGCCCAGCGTGTGCGTGCGTCAACGTTGCGTTGGAGAATATTGGGTCCTTCATGACGCGCTCACCATCGTTGCGCTTCCTCCAAATATACCAAATTTGGTATCACGGGAAGTGAATAGACGACGAACGTATATGACACGTCCAAACCTGATAATCATAATGCGCGTTTCATGTAAAACATGACTACAGGCTACGCTCATAGCGTTCTCGAGGCCGTTTCACTAGTTCCACATTTTGGTATTACGTGACGTGAATGGAGGATGAATGTAAATGACACGTCCAAATTTGATAATCATGATATGGATTTCATGAAAAACATGACTACATGATACGCTCTTAGCACCCTCGCGGCCGTTTCACTAGCTCCATATGTACCAAAGTTGCTGTCAGGTGACGTTAATAAATGATGAAGGTAAATTAAACGTACAAATATGATATTATTGACTTGAAAATCATGTACGGCATAATTTATTTCTGCCTCTATTTTGTGGTGATTTTAAAGTGACCTATCACCCTTACTCATTTGTACTTCGCATATTATCGATCCCACTGTACGTGGGATCTGCCAATTCTTTTCTATACGCGAAATTGTGAGGTTGCACAATAAAGCTGCTTTGATTTCCCTACTCTAACAAATGCACACTTTCAAGCGCATCACTCTTTTAACTGTGCGACTAACTTCCTAATAGCGTTGGTTTACACGGGTGATATATGCTTTAGAATCGACCGTCTATAGCTACACACTATACGCTTACGACTTACCTGTCAGTGCGCTGTCGTAGTAGATTTCGAATCCCGAAGCCCGCTGATTGCTTCCGCTCACAAAGTGCAGTCGGAGAGTGTTGGTGTCAGAGACAAAGTTTGAAGGCGCGTTGCGCTGGCAGAAGCGGCCTGCCAGCGGTGACGTCGCTTGGCCACCGTTCCTTGCGAAAGGAAGGAAAACGAGAAAAAGACAGCCACATGAAGCACCGCAAGGACGTTCTAGAACAGAAAATACTATAGGCTAGCTACATTGTTACCTGTCACATTAAGAATGAAGGTTGAATGAACATACTGTGTTGAACGGTAATTTTTGATTCTGTATGCAGAACTGAGCAAAAATACTGTAAATGTTCGGTAATCAAACCTTCGTTAACTCCGGGGAGTCTGATAATTCAGACGTGTTCTCTCGTCGCGGCAAGCACATTGTTGTGGTGCAACGTGAAAAAATGACAAGAACATGCGAGATAGCTAAACAGCAAGTTCATCATGATGACGACGATGCTCCTGTGCTGAATGACACTGACTCACTGCGAACTAGAGTCGGGCGAATAATAAAGTCTGAAATTTTTTAATTGCTGACAGTCATTAGAGCGTTAATTAGAATTAAGAATCATTTGAACCAATTGCAGAGTAGGTCATGCTCAAGTCAACTGAGCAAAAAAATAATAATAAACGCCTTTCCTGTCTAAGAATATCTATAAAGTGAAGCGTTTTCATTGTCGTTATGTAGTATATACAAGTCAATGTATTGTTTAAAGGGGCCCTAAAAAATTTTAGTAACCATGCAATTAATTCACTGTAAAAGCGTATTGCCTCACAAATTCAACGACGCAAAAAATTTTAGAATGTGTCCAGTACGAGCGGAGTTACAATGATTTGTCACACGCTGCAATCGCATTCTCTCTTCTCTCGTCCCGACAAAAGCGCTGGAAGCTAAGCAGGGAAGAATGGGTGGGGCAAACAAAAAACGTCGGCAGAGACTGCTGCGCCACGCGGCACACGAGCCACCCCCACACAGAAACGGCTGCTGCGCCGCGCGGAAGTGACGTCATGCACTTTACCGGTTAGGCGCTTCGTTTGAATAGACGGAGTGTCTAGTGGTACGTCGAGACGTAATGACTAGACGTACCACTAGACACCAACGTAAATATATCGTCCAAACGTAATAGTAAAAAAGGAAATGTTAGTTAGGTCCAGCGTGACAACAATACAAAACCGGCTTGTTAATCGTTCCGAATCGATTGCCATTTGTGGCGTAGTTGGTTAGACCAGCAAGAACTGGTGAGGTCGGTAGTTCGAGCCCCATTGCAGGTTTTGGTACTTTTGCTTTTTTTGTTCGCGCATGCATTGTTTTAACATTTGCGCCTCCTCATCGGCCTCCCGCCAGCTTGACTTGCTGCTAGTGGTGGTCCTGTCCACAAGCCCTTTAATAATGGATGTTTCAAGACTCTCGCAGAATTGACTACATTTATTAAAATAAAGTGTTTGGCGAATTAGTGCTCTTAATCGGTGAGATGCAAAATGACACGAAAAACTCAAATGCAGCTGGCTGAATTGGTTTTTACGGCACAGCTGTCAGGAGTATTGATTTCCATGGTTTATAAATGTTTTGATGGCAGAAAGGCGCACTGCAACGTAGTCTCAGGAAAATTTTTTTTTATGTTGCTCAGTGTACCATCACCTGACGAAGTAACCGGCAGTGCGCTTCAAAATACTGACGTGCCACCGCAATGATCCAAGCAATGAGCACTTGATAAACGATGTCCAAGGGCAAGTGCTGACGGCGTTAGCCCATCTAACTACAAAACAGCTTGTCTGCTTTGCTGGATAACACGCACAGCCTGTGAAAGCACGGGTGCATTTACGTAGCAACGGATGAGAACAGCCGTTCGTGTTGGCGCTTAACAAAACAGCCGGCAATGCAGAAGCTTTGGCCTTCGGAGATCACAAGCTTCGCAAGAACACTACAATAAAGTTGTTTCCATACATCGTATGAACACTTCGCCGACGCACTGGGGTTTCATGCATGTGCGTCCGGTCAGTTCCACCTGAACTGTGCAGAAACATTTATTTCATCGTTGACCTTCTCCTTTGCGACAAGCGAAACTCGGCAGCAAGTACACTTTCACTTTTGGCAACACCACGCTTGACATTGCAATCTATAAAATGCAGTACATCCAACAACAATAATCCACACTTCATACTGAGAAACTTTATGGCGCACACACTCAGATGAAGCTGCGGCGCGATGGACGGCCGTGCTAGCTCCCACCTTCAGGTTCAACTGGGCATTTAGCAATCACATGAAGCAGCGACGACACAGGGTCTCCGGTCCTCCTTGGGGGCGGTCTTGGCCATGACCACGATTTCGTCGGAGTTTTCACCTCACACACATCGCCGGCAGCTACCATCTCGCGCTGTTTGCCTTTCGCAACCGCAGCGCCTATGGTGCCCCCTGTATTTAAAATACTCGTAGTATCTGTTTAATTAAGAAATATATGATGATTGACTCGTCAAACACCTGATTAGTGAAATTTTTGTAGGTGTAACGCTATGTACATTTATAACTTATACATTTAAAGAGCTGTAGGTAACGATTTTTAGAGTGACATCACTTCCGTGCGGCGCAGGAGCCACTTCTGTGTGGGGCTGGCTGATACGCCGCACGGCGCAGAAGACGCTGCCTTTAATTGCGCCTTGTGAACTTGAGCACTTCTTTTTCTTTTTTTTTTCTTCGAATACGCTGCTCTCAGTGCGATCGCGCGCGCACGCGTGGACAAGTGACGGCCTCCGGCGGCGATCTCTGTAACGAGCGAGCGCACCGTGTTCAAATCAGCCAATGGCTGATAGATGGGTTTAGTACGAGTGATTTTCGGGTTTATTCGGGCTTATTAGTGATTTTCGGGCGAGAGAAGAGAAAGCAATTTTAGCTGAGTTTGATAATTTATTGTGAATTCCAGGCCGCATGCTGCGCTATAATATTTGTCTCACGTGTTGTCGGGAGCCTCTACTACCGATCGGCCGCATTTTCTGACTATGCTCAAAAAGTGTTTCAGGGCCCCCTTAATGACATCAAGCTCTCGTCGGTGTATATTCCAGTCCCGCACTCTAGCCCAAGGTCTATCCAGAAATTCAGACGTCAAATACTTGCGTGCTCTATTCAGACATTGCTAGCTTAGATCACATTCTTATGGTAGCGCCCTGCGTTACTGGTTGACGAAGACATTACATCGTCCAAGTGGAATGCTCGGCTACGCTGTCCGAATTTGAAAACACAAATATGACCAGTCCAACGGGTCCATGTACGACGAGGCTGAGAGGCTAGGCCTGTATCACTCACGACTTGGGAGTGGCCAGTGACTTGTCAGCCCAAGCCTCCACGAATGTAAACAATGTTTTTCATACCCTATTATTAAGCTCTCGTCAGTTGCGTCATATTTGGCAGCTACCCGAATAATACTGATGATTTCAGGAGCTCGCCAAGCATGGAGCACCGCATGTGTACGACGCAAATGAGCGAAAACAGCGTTCACGAACAATTGAAACGGCCGCAGGCCTGCAGGCTTGCGTGGTAAACATCCACAATCGTACCACAGCTGTGTTGTAGGAGACCAAGGATTCAGAGGCAGTGGGGAATTCGTTTTCTTTTCGACTTGACTCGTAGGTGAAGTGCGCGGGCGCCTAATATGATCGCGCAGATAGCGACTGGATACAAATCCGAGGTACTCAGTAGTTTTTTTTTCGCCTTATGCATTCACATCTGCATAATAATCATCCCTGAATGTTCATTAGTAAGGCTAGTTTATTCTGCAGCATATGCGTGGCTCCCCAGTTTCGATTCTACTGGGGACGTATAGGCCGTGGCAGTGCCTTCAGACCTGCTAGCTTGGACCACTCAAACATGGTTGAAACTGTTTAGGAAAAGCTTTAGCGGCGGTCTTGACACTGGCGTGACATACGCTGGGCGCATTGTGATAAACGGACGATCAATTTCCACCCATTTCTTGAACAAGAAAGATATCGTCACATGTACGTGGTGGTTTTTGTGATGGCGGTATGTAATAAGGGGTAGGTTTACAGGCCATTTCGGCCTATAGGACAGATGTCTCAAAAACCCCTCGAGCCGGGCTCACATTTGTACCAATGTCACGAATTACAATAACTGCGGCTTAAAAGCAGCAATTTTCACAAGCTTTCTTGTAAGCAATTTTCTTGCGAAAATTACATACTAGTTTACATAACCATAAAACGAAAAAAGTATTGATATAACGGGAAGTAATTGATTATTTCATCATACTTTCACTAGTTGAGCATTTTGTTTGTTTGGAGAATTCGGCGGTCCTCCGGAACCCGGACTAACGAGGTTTGATGTATATAATAGAGTTATGTAGGTGATAAACTGTGAACCACGTATGCGTGATACAAGACGCGTATGTCGTAAAATTCTGAAAGGGATCTTCATTTGGCAGCATGCCCGTCAGCTTGCCCACACACAAACTTTCTTTAAAGAAAGAATAGGCTTTACCTCAGTGTTTACCTAGGCTTCATTTACACCATTTTTTGATAAAGTAAACACAAAGAATATACACATAATAAAATTGGGCACACATGGTAAACTGTACACAGACAGATGACAAAAGAAAAACTAGAAAAAAAATTGTTGATTTATTTAGACATCAGAACAAAATTCACTGCGCTACAAACGCACACGCGCGAGTTTGTCATACACGCCTTATATCTCACATACCTTCCTTTATCAGTGATTTGCAATGGCGGGGTGATGTCGCGCCTGGAAGCAGTGAAGTACTGCACCATTACCCTGACGAATGCCGTCAAAGAGCGGTTCGATCGCTCCAGCCCGATGGATGCTTTCGGTGCATAATTGTAGGTGCATAACACCGTAATCGATTATTGGGTTCAGCGAAGATGCTGCTACGTGTTTTGCCTTTCGCGTCATGTTAGCAATACTTTTTTGCAGACTAGTTGGTTCATACTTGAAAAGTTGAATTGCTGCACAAACTTGAAAAAAAAGAAGGGAGACACTGCGCTCTTTCCTGTCTCCCTTCTTTTTTTCTTCAAGTTTGTGCAGCAATTCAATTTTTCAAGTCATGTTAGCATGATGCACCAACTACGTTTCACCGTCGTCGACTGATTCAAGTGCGATAGCCCCCAACTAGTAACACTGGTGTAATAAGCAGCGCGGAAAGGCAATAACGTAAACAGCGAAACTCGCGCAGTGCTTGGTGCAGCGAGAACTTCAGCAGTAAGTGAAACCACTCTGCGTTCACGGCTCAAGCTGTGAGTTCTGCATATCGCGTTCCTGAATTGTTTTCTCATATGCATCAACACGGGTGAAGTTACCCTCTTAAATACGGGAACGTAAATCTTGACGTTTTTTCCAATGCTTTGAATGAAGGTATCAGCGTTATGATTTTGTTGAAGCCATCTCTGTATGTAGTTCAGCATATGAAATGTCCGAGTGTATACTAGCTGCTTAAGTTACGATAAAGGATATATTATAATATTTTTGCCTTTATTCGGATGGATGAAGATATGCTGCTAGGTGTCAACGCTGGCGTAGCCACATCTAGTTGACATTGTGCAAGATCTCAGACATTGATGTACGATATACTATGAACTATACCTTTGAAGGTACGATTAACTTTCGCGTTAAAGCAATTCCTATGACGGATGATTATGGCATGTAGAGTTTAACGCCCCAAAACCACCATATGTGTATGAGAGACGCCGTAGTGTGGGGTTCCGGGAATGTCGACCACCTGGGTTTGTTGAACGTGCACCCAAATCTGACCACACAGGCCTACAACATTTCCGCCTCCGTCGGAAATGCAGCCACCGCCACCGCCGGGATTCCATCCCGCTACCTGCGGGTCAGCAGCCGAGTACCTTAGCCACTTACTTTATCACCGCGGCGGGACGATTCCTATGAGGGAGAATTCACCACGTTTTTTTCTTTTTTAATGAAACTTGTAGTTCAAGCCCTTTAATTTTACTTGACGTCTCACTGCGTGTGCAGGATCTTAATTTACTCCTCCCGAAGTAAGGAAAAGACGGAATTAAAATTACCACCACAAACACAGAACAAGCTCCACAAACAAAAGAAGATACAGACACGAGCATTGTGATGAAGTTGGTAAGTTTGATTCGCAGTTGTATACCAACTAAGCCGTAATGAAGTTTCCTTTTAGGTAGAAGCAATGAACGGAAATTTCAGGGAACTCATGATATTGATCACAAATGGCGATTGTTTGGCGCAAATAAACAGTAATAGTCCGAGTGTGGGATTACTGTTCTTATGACTGTTAAAAATGTTGTTGTTCAATGTATTAGAAAACAGTTTATGCTTTCTAAGCTTACCGACAGAAATACGAAAGTGTGGGCAATTTACAATAGCATAATGTGAGCAGCGGAACGCAAACACTGCACCACCTCATTTGAAGTTCATTCGCTGTGGCCTGCCTTGTACAGTAGTGTGTTTGACGCTGAATAGCAGCACTCACAGGATTTCGAGGTAGCTGGGCCGACAGGACGGGTCGCTTGCGATCTCGAAGTGCGTGAAGTTGAGCCTGATCTGGCGGCCATCGGGAACGTGCAGCACCCACGAGCAGTCTCGGTCACTTAGATAAGCACGTGGATAGAGCGGCGACCGGACGACGCCTTGGGACAGGTAGTAGTCGCCACCGCAGGCTGCGAAGGCCACAGCAAGACATACGCTAAGCATGCTCACGTTCAAGTCTTGCTAATGGGGGAAACACATGGCGTAAGATTTTACCAGCACCACTAAGATCATAAAAAAAACCCTGAATTACAACTCCGAATCGTGGCTTTCCTCAGTTTTACGACTACCACACTGTCATATTTTGCTTTTATTGCAGTTTCAAAGCGTGTCGTTAGCCACGTAATATTTGTACTGTTAGAGATTAAAGTGAGACATGTGATGCCGAACAATGCAGAGAACACATAACTATTACCCACAAGCAGTAAGTTTAGCCTTGTGCCACTTCATGGTTCATTCAACACAGTAGCATGCAGTTCATTTATCATTGATGTCCTTTGTTCATGGCTCGTAATCTTGCACTTGTCATGCGCCTAGAAATCAACTTAGATATAAAGCACAAGATGACACCACAGCGAAAAAAAAAAACCAAAATTGTAGTATCAACCCGCGCAGAAGATATGTAAACTAAAAAAACCACCCACCAAAAATTTTTTTTGTTGAAAACAGTCATTATTTACCCGTAAAAAAATTAAAACTTGTCATCACAAGCAAGCCTATCGAACTGAATGTTCTTAAGAGCGAATGTGAAATTTTTATGAATAATTCATGAAACATTTTACAGATTACGTGAACATTAACTCAATGAAGCTGAGGTTCTGGCGAATCCAGCGTTACCTTGTTCTGCGCAATTAATTGCAAAAAACTTTCCACTTGAACGATCCTTCCACTACTGTATTTATTAGGAGGTTTCTACGCTGTCACAAGGAACATCTACGGAAAGTACATAGAAGTATTGCAATTAAATAAGATGGAAAGACAGTACAAGTCCGTGCTGAAAGACATGACCGAAGGAATGTACGAACCCGTTCTCTCATTGAGGAAAATGAAATGCGCAAGGAAGCCTTCTCGCGTGACGCTGTCGTCGGTGCGGAAGATCACTTCCAGCTGCCGACCTGATGACGTCAGTGTTGGTGGAGTCTTGAGTCCGCAGAATCTGCACAGTTGACAAGCTCTCGTCACGTTCCCTTATCGCTATATGAGGGCAATGTATCTAAAGTAATCATAGAGCTAAGTAAATACATCGAATATGTATTATGCGAGGGTGTATGCTCAATTTCCAAAAGAGCGATGGCTTGTGCGCTGGAAATTGGTATTGTCTATTTTGTTTTCAAGACAAGTTACAACGTAAATACGAACGCAATCTCACTCCCGGACGACCGAATTAACAGACTTTCAACAGGGATTTGCTGAGCGCTATGGCGGAGAAAAATAAAATGCGCCACTGTGAATGTGCTACAAGCAGGCATGAGCTTTCTGCTTGCGGCAGTTGGCAGTGATAGTCTGTAGGTGCTGCCTTATTTAATAAAAAAAGTAACGCATGTGAACACGCGCCTTGTTCCTGACCTATCGAAGCCACATGATACGCTGTAGAGTCTACCTATCACCGTACCACAACACATCCAATTGTCCTGCAAGCCCTTAACACATAATACGGAGTAGTGAAAGGCATAAATCACCAGCTCTGACACGGAAATGCAGCTCGCACTCCTGGATCGAGTCTGCCGGGAGGTTACGTCCAGTGGAGGGAGCCCTGGTCGTAGGGCCCCAGCCATAGACGCCTTAAGATACGCCTTCCCTTTTTTTTCTTTAATTAAATTTCCACACTCTCTCTTTCTCTCTCTGTTCGTCGGTGTACTTAAAATAGTGTAAGCAGCCACGAATATGCCTGTGTTGCTGTTCTGCGTATAAGTAAAAATAAATTATTATTTTGCAGTCAATTAATATAGATGGGAAAAAATGGACTGTATTTCTCCATGCACGTTCATTCACGCATTATACGAAATGTTCAGCACGCTCTACCCACGTAACTATCCTACTCAAATTCGCAATATTAGGCTAAATTATTCTTCTTTCTCACTTATACGCAAAGGCTAAAGGGGGCCGTGCCGCTTGCACACAGGCTAATATTTCATGCTCGACTTGCCCATGGCACGGTTTCGGCCGACCATAAGAACTTTGGTGTTCGCAAAAAAAAAAAAAAACACAGCTGGGCACGCGCCACTGGAACTTAGCAAGCCCCACTGCCGAGTAAAGCCAGTACAGTTGGAAGAACTTCATTTAAGGATCCGAAGAAGTACCACCCCTCAGGGCGACACCGCGCACGCCGCACCCGCGTGGGGAGAGTTAGACCTAGCTTAACTGCCCCATCGCACGCACTCTGGACAGTCCAAAGTTGAAGCTGATATTATGAGAGCTTGAAGGCTGGGCGCGATTTGTCCTCTGTGAGGTCCTCATCCCCACGTAACGAGTAACGCAGGTGCGAGCGTTAAATGACAACAAAATGACAACGCAGGTACGAGCGTTAAATGGCACGGTAATTACGAATGACGAGGATAAGGCTGCATGCCTAAACAACTTTTTCCACTCGGTATTCTTACCTAAACACAGCTGTAATTATCATCAAACTATTATGAGCATTTCGCCTATGCTTCCTGTCGAGCTTAGTGTTAATGGAATTGAAAAACTATTGCAGGACGTTGATGAGAGTAAATCTAGTGGTCCAGATGGGATTTCTCCGCGTGTACTCAAGCGTTGTGCGGGGCCAATTTCTATGTATCTTTATGCAATTTTTGAAAGATCTTTAGCGACAGGTACCTTACCACATGACTGAAAAATCGCGCACGTGGTACCGATACATAAAGGTGGGTCCAAAAAAGACGTTAGTAATTATAGACCAATCTCGCTTACATCTATCCCGTGTAAAATCCTCGAACATATTTTATACAAAAAAATAATAACTCATTTAAACAAGCATAAGGTACTAATCAACGAGCAGCATGGATTTCGCAGAGGGCTGTCTTGCACAACACAATTAGTTGAATTTTATCATGACGTAATATCGGGCGTAGATACTGTAGGAAAGGTTGACGGTGTGTTCTTGGATTTTCGGAAAGCGTTTGACACGGTGTCACATTCACTCTTACTGTTTAAGCTTACCACCCTGAACATTGATAAGACTGTTTTTAAATGGATCGAATGTTACCTTTCTCAAAGAACACAAACCGTAGTACTGAATGGAAAATGCTCCGAATACACCGATGTTACCTCAGGGGTCCCACAAGGCTCCGTCCTGGGTCCGCTATTGTTTTTAATTTATGTTAATGATATCTCTGCAGGAATTTCATCTTCTATACGGTTGTTTGCGGATGACTGTGTTGTGTACAGAAAACGTTTTGATCACAATGATGTATTAGAACTTCAGAAAGACTTATCGCTCATTTATAGCTGGTGTACCAAATGGAAAATGAATTTGAATATAACAAAGCGTGTACATATTTCATTTACCAAAAAGATGAAACCATTTCAGTCACAGTACCATCTGAACAATGTACAGTTGAAACAAGAGAGTACATATAAGTACCTAGGTATAATACTATCATCTGAATGTTCATGGAGGCCTCAGGTTGACACTCTCATAGCCAAAGCTGGTAAGGCTTTAAATTTCATTCAAAGAAACCTGCGATGTTCGCATGTGAATTTAAAACGTATGGCATACACTACTTGTATCAGACCTATCTTAGAATACGGTTGTGTCGTGTGGGACCCCGCCGAGGTAACCTTCATTGCTGCTCTGGAACAATTACAAAATCGTGCTGCCAGATTCGTCTTGGGACGGTACGGAAGAGGGGAGAGCTGCACTGCAATGAAGGCTGAGATAGGATGGGAGTGTCTTTCTGACCGCCGCCAGAAGCAGAGATTAAAATTTCTTTACTGCATTTACTACAATAAAACTGGAATTAATAGAGAAATATACCTACACAACCCTCATTACACTTCAAAACGTTTTGATCATAGTTGCCAAATTCGGGAATACCCAGCTAAAACGGACATGTATGCCAATTAATTTTTTCCTAGAACGATTAAACAGTGGAACAGGCTAACTGAAATGCAAGTACATAGTGGGAACGAAGATTTATTTTATTCACTGCTGTAAACCCGTGTTGTAACCTGAACGAAGATATATTATGTGTGAACAAAATTCTGCTATGTGTGTGAACGAAAATGTATTTCAGTTATTTATGTGTGAACAAAGTTGTATTGTGTCGGTGAACGGAGATGTACGTCATTTATTGATGTAACCCCCCTGCTATAACGCCTTCGGGTGCTGCGGGGTATCTGATGAATAAAGAATAAAAAACTCCACTTTGCGAAGTGAAGCACGGACAAAGCAGGAAAACTAAAAGGAGAGAGAAAGAAAACTGAAGAGAGAAAATAAGGAAGTGGTAGAAACAAAGAGAACGAGAAAATATAGAGAAATGAAGGAAAAGGCTAGAGAGATAAAGATATAGAAGAATTAAAAAAAAAGAGAGGAAGACTGAAAAAGAAATAGAAACGAAGAAGAGTGAAAAAGAAGCAGAGAAAGTTAAGAAAATGTGAAAGACAGAGAAAGACAAAAATCGAGAGAAAGCGAGGAAACGAGCCGCTTCGTCATATGCTGTCATTGTTGCTGGGCGTAACGCACGCAGAACCACATGCAGCGTAGCCGACTGTAGCACCGTGAGCGCGTGCTCGCGCCAAGAGAAATTTTACTTAAACTTAAACCCATTTTACTTAAACGCTTAAGCTTAAGCATTATGGCGCTTAAACTTAAGCAAATGGTGCTTGAAAATTGAAAAGAAAAAGAGCACGCAAGACGGAAATCGAAAGAGAGAGAAAGGAATAGAAAAGTACCAACAACAATAGAAATGAATAGCAACAAGGAGAAAAAAATATCGGGACATCCCACGTACCTTGGAACCTACGTTACGCAAAGCATGCGGAGGGAAGGTTACGTGTTCCATTTTTTATATTAAGTGACACGTCATGGAATTATGATAAACATATGTACAAATTTTACACGCACACACGCATGTTGCAGAGTTGCAGATGTTTATATAACCAGTTGTTTGCACTTGTGCAACAAAGCCAACTGGAATGCGCCTATTAGCAACACCGGAAGCTGATATGAAGCGCTGATGCTCGCAAGGATGCTGTTCCTGGACACTGCTACACAAATCAACTACAGCGCATAGCAAATAACCACAATTGACGTTAACCCGACGTGACGGCTGTCATAAAGGAGTACATAAATAACGTTTATAAAATTGGGTAGATAGCACTGCAACGACTAATGACGTTTCACGAAGATCAGCGTTCATTTGAAAAGTATAGTTCTGAGACCTGGCGTATTTCTGTGGTGAAATGCGTCATTACCCCGCAGAATGCTTGGGTTTGATTCCAGCTGCGACCCAGACATTTATTCTTTGTAATTTTGGGGTCACCGCTACCAATGTCGGGTATTTTTTAACGCTCACACGTTGCAATTGCCCATGTGTGTTCTCCTCGTTCCTGAATAGACACTAAGTTTCAATCACCTGTGTCACATACCCGCATAGCAGCGGCACATACCTGTGGATATGCGCCACTGTCTGGTGGGAAGTGTTTGACGAAGTACGCATCAGGACAGTGACATTATTTATTCGTGTCTTGACCAGAGCGCAATATTCCTCAAACCATCTTACCCTTCCATGCTAATTTTGGTTCACGCCAAGTTAAGGGGTGACCACGAGAGCACCCAAACGTAAGCGGATAGATAGATAGATAGATAGATGGATAGATAGATAGATAGATAGATAGATAGATGGATAAATAGATAGATAGAATGATAGATAGATAGATAGATAGATAGATAGATAGATAGATACGCTCAATGTCGTCGAAGTTTGCTAATAAATGCTTTGCCTTAAAAAAAACAAGAGACAAAGACAGAGGAAGAAGAAAGAAGACTGTAAAAGATGAAAACAACCACAGAGCAGAGGAAAACCGAAAAGAAAGAAAGGAGGCTTGTGAAACAAGAAGGTTTGGGATGCTGCCACAGTGATGCCTTTGATGCCGTGTGTAATTTCATTTTGAATACTCAACGAGTACCAATTTGATTTGGTATTTAAAATTCTTTGTCATTTCGTTAAGTTAAAACTTGAATTTTCAAAATTATTCCCGTCAGGTTATTACGGCAGTCTGGAATACAGGCTCAAAAGCATATTACTTGTAGTTAAATTGGATATGTTACGTATCATTGCCATTTAATTTCTCTATTTTTGGTTTTAAATTTCACAGCTTGGCTTAATAACATTTAACAGTATCTACGTGTCATTCTTGTCCAATGCCCCAAAGTGGGTACATGCCATGCATCTAGGAAAGCAAAGCAAAGCAATGGCCGCCCAGCTCCGCACTGCCTTGAAGTCTGGTCCATTGTTATTATTATTTCTGGCTACGAGACTACCTGAATGCCTGAGTCATAACTAACACACTTGATGATGCTGCCACCTGGTTCTTGGCCGATCCCCCTTTGTGGGCGAGTGCCAGCAAAGCTAAAGGCTCATCATCATCATTATCAAGTCTGGTCCCATTTGTGCGAGGCTGCCGTAGCCTTACCTTTTTGTTTTTAATTATGCTCCTTCTATTACTCGTTGAAGACGTTCAGGCTCTGCGGGCATTCTGGCGGCCGCCATGACTGAGCGCTTCTTCGCGCACGTACCTTCCAATCATCTGGTCCGAGGTGTCGTGTATCTCGATGTAATCGTACGAGCAGTTGGACGAGTCCTCGAGCACGAAGTGCGTGAAACTGAGTCGCACCGCGTGGCCCGGCGGGGCACGCAGGATCCAGCGGCACATCACGTTGTGCCGGTAAGCCTCCCCGATGCCCCCGCTGGCGCCGTCGTCTCCGCCGTCGCTGTGATCGCTGGCCGCGGAACGAGTCGCAGGGCTCGCCAGGCTGCCAGACTCGGTGAGCACGCCACCGCAACCTAAGAAGGTAATAATCATCCCTTATTAATTATTAGTAGAGGGATCCCTATGTTGCGTCATGCGTGCTACGTCGTCGCTTCTTGAGTCCGTGTCTTTTACGCACAACGTTATACCCGCTAATGGCAAACCAACAGGCCGAAATAGCTGCCGTGGTGAAGTATGCCTCATAGAGCGTCATAACAGAGAGGACTCTACAAATCATGATACGTTAGGTATACGTACAAATTATGTAAAGCTGCGTAACACTCGGCACTTCACAATGACATAAGATCTTCACTTGAATGCTGCCCAGATCGAAATCGACTGACTATTTAAAAATATTTACGGCGAATATAAAAGTAGAAATAACACTTCGCATTGCCAAAACTAATTTGCAAACTCTCCGCCATGGTGGTGCAGCGGTTATGGTGCTTACTGCTTGGCTGCTAACCCAAAGGTCGCGGGTTCGATCCCGGTTGCATTGGTCACATTTAGATGAAGACAAAACGATAGAGGCCTGTGTACTGTGTGACGTCGGCACACACTGAAGAACACAAGATAGTCACAATTTCCGGAGCCCTCCACTGGAGCCTGGCTTATAATGATATCTTGGTTTGAGCGCGTAAAAGTCAGATATTTATATCATCACAACGAAAATGCCCGTGAATACTCCTCAACTGCCTTTCTGAGGTCGGTGATATCTGTCCAAAAAGCAATAGGGTTCGGCAGTCTGTTCCACATTTCGGTCACATTCGGGAAGAATTCAGGTCAAAATGCACCAGTTTGGTATGGGTTTATGGCGTAGTCTTGCTTGATTGGTAAGTTTATTTTGCTTTGAGCGTTTAGCTATATTTGAACTTATAAGTCTGTAGTTTATCCAGCATGATCTAGAAAAAGAACATGGCTGATCCCTCTGTCACAGGAATCGATAAGACACGTAACTAAAACGTGTCATCATGGAGTTCGTTGAGCGTTCCTTGGGCATTGTTTTGGCACAAGAGCAAATGAATGGGTGTTATAGCGACAAATTGTATCGTCCACGCGAAAAAGCGACAGGCAGCTCTAGATAAGCAACGCTCTGCTCAATCGAGAAGGACGCGCGAAAGAAAAACACATACACAGGACGATCCCGAACTAACAACTGTCAAAGCTGACCCTTAAAGCGCGCTGCTCAAACACAAAGGAGGAGGCGCGAAACGAACGCAAAGGTATACAAAGGACGAGCACGAGCTGGGAGAAATATGTGGGACTTAACGCCCCAAACCACGATATAATTATGAGAGACGCCGTAGTGAAGGACCCCTGAAAGTTGGACCACGTGGGGTTGTTTAACCTGCGCCTACTTCTAAGCACGTCAACGAGCACGAACTAACAACTACCCCAATTACTTCATTGGTCTGAGCAGCATGCTTCCTTCGCAAGCGCGGCCGCTGCTGTGAGCGAAGAGACCCTAATGTTTTCTAGAACTTTAACGCCAGCACAAGACGCACTAAGGGCCCACGCACCGCAATGCTCGAAACTATACGACCTTCAAAGCACACCTTCGCGCCTGTCGCGCTTGATATAACAAAAACACGCTGCATTCGCTCATCTCTGAGTGCTGCCGACAGAAACTGCTGTATATAAATAGCTCGCCGTGAGTATCTTTAAGAATGTTTGATTTGTGACCGAGTTGTTGCTCGCTGCGCAATGTGGAGGGAGAGCTTGTATATCTTCGACTCCCGGCGAAGGAACATTGTTTTTTTTTTATTTGCCATTTGTGAGTGTATAATAAGTAACGTGATATATGTAATGAAAATACGTCACTGGAGATTTGTTGTATCCTAGTATAAAACACTTCGGTATTGAAAAAAAAAACGCCTCCAGCTTGTGTTTATTTTTACACTGCTTAAGAGGATCCATGTTCCATCGCTTTACTATGAGCGTGATTCCATTATTTCATACATAAAAAATAACATCAATTGATAGCCTAATTTCACCGCATACAACACGTTATCTTTTCGGTCTAGAACAGGTGGCATGTCTGTTGAATTAGCGCTCATAGCTTACCGATATCAACCGCCGTGTAGTTCGCCAAGAATCCGTGGTGTTCGTTGGAGTGGTCGGTGTGGAACACCAAGCGCAGCTGGTTGTACGTCGACGTAATGACAGGCGGCAGCGAAGAGCCGCAGTAGCGACCGACCCGAGTGGTGGACCCGTTGCGGGCCAGTTCACTGATCTGTAAGAAGGAAATATACCAGCGATGTGTTATCCCCTTAACAAACGAAATGATTCTAAAGCACAACCCTGTTATGCGTGTGGAACGACGCAAGTGCATGGTTGCATGCAGTAGGATAGACCTATTTATTGTACAAGACTTGCAATGGTGATCTATAGACAAGCACGTATACTATGCACCCGGATGGCCATTTTGTTCTGAAATACCAAGGCGTGGAATGGTTGCGCCAAGTTGACATGGCAAACGGCGTCTCTTGGGACTTCGAAATACAATAAAGCACCTCTTCACGCCGCTCCCACTTACAAGAAGTCTGCGCACTACTGCACCGTCTTCGTATGCAAAAAGAATCAGCGCAAGAGGAAAAAATACCCAGTACTGTCTGTGAAGATCAGAACACGACGCGGGAATCGTGCCGATGTGGTGTTGTCAGATTGCACAGATAATTCATTTGCAACGAAAAACGACGAGCTCTGCTGCCAGTGAATAATTGCAACCCTCAGGAAATACTATGAGTGCGGTAAAATTATACGAGTAACTTCACTTACTGTGTGTATTCAAGCGTGACGCCAGCTATTCAGATTTGCAGCAGTAATTTGCCTGGGCTATGGCTGTAGTATGCGGCACCAAATCGTTGCCGTACCATTTCGCAGGCTGCGTGTCAATAGTAGGAGATATCACGACTCACGCGTGCATGCACTTATTGCACAGGTTGATGACAAATGTAATGGCGTACTATCACGATGAAATGAAACTTGAACAGCGGAAAGAGTGGTTTTCGACTCAGTCGAACTGTGACATACTTTGACTGTCGCTAGGTGAATCCGTGCTTTCAGCCGGCGTCACCGTAGCACTATCAAATCTTGCCCTGGCTGGCATATTCGCACCGCGTGTGTATTTCTTGTGCCAGGCATGCATGACTGGCAAATGATAAACACATGCGGTGCATGAGAGCAAGCTGGAGCGTGATTCTAGCGCTACGGTTACATCGGCTGAAAGCACAAGCTTCGCCTCACTCAAGGCATGTCGCAGTTCTATTGAGTTGCAAGCCACGCTTTCAGCTGTTCACGTTGTTTGTTTCCATTGCGATAGTGCACACTTCAAGAACTTGCTTCTGGAGACTGCAGTGGACGTACTGTAGACTATACGGATTGTCGAGGAAGATCTTCTTGACGTTTCACAAGAAAACAGTGCAAATTTCTAGGAGAGGGAAAGCGCCAAACATGCTTGCAGCCGGACTCGGGTTGGAAAGTTGCGCGTGTGAATGGCGGAGCGTCTGCTATAGCATGACAGTCGAGAGTAATGCTTTGCCGCAGTTGCGACAGCTGGCGCGACGTTCTCCCTAAATATGGCGGCACAGACTGAACTCGCTGTGTTTTTGTGTATACATGCAGTAGGTGTAATTTAGTAGCCAACTTTCAATGTTAAATCACACGTAATAATAATAATAATAATAATAATAATAATAATAATAATAATAATAATAATAATAATAATAATAATAATAATAATAATAATAATAATAATAATAATAATAATAATAATAATAATAATAATAATAATAATAATAATAATAATAATAATAATAACAATAATAATCAACGACGGTCAAAGTGAAAACAACGTGAATTAGGGTTGTGTGCAGTACATATACTCTCTTACAGCAAAAAGATAGGCTCATCCATTTACTATAAAAAAAAACCTGTTTTCCCGTCCACACTAATTCATTAAGCAGTTAGCTCATACGTGCTAATTCACAAGTAAAATCCGCAAATAGTCTTTCGTAGGCTTTCCACAGCGTAACTATCTAGCTTTTGTTTTCATTAGGTCATCTATAACAAAGATGGGTCTAAGTGTTCTTTATCCTTGTTTGTGTTATGAATGCTACCCTCTTTGCAGCTTCTGCCTGATGGGGGTGTTTTTACAGGCCGATTGGGCAGGTGTAGACTGACCATCTGTTGAATGCATAAGTTGAACCCAAGGCGATAGAACTGGAAAAGGGAAAGTGGCTACCAGTCTGTTTTAGCCAGGAAAAAATCAAATGCGATGTTCACTTTTGGTACCTTTGCGATCATGAAAGATATTCGTTTTTCTTGCGTTAAAACATGATTATGTGCTGTGTTGTGCCGCAGAATTTGTCTATACTTAATTTAACCATCCTGAACACCAACAAAGTTATACTCATACAACGACTTTTACGGCTTTCCTTCACGCTTTAGAGACGTAAAATCCTAACATTTTGTCGCTGAAGCCCCGGTTAAAGGATTCTTCATCTATTAAAGTTTCAACCTACCCGTGAGCTTCATGTCATTTCTGCATTTAATTTCATGTGACACTTCGAACATGTAGTGACAGAAATGCTCCAATTCAGTAATTGCAATGACCACGCAGTAGTACGACAAACACTAGATAATACTTTATGCTGCCAAGTTCTCTGTTCACCAAGCTCGCAAGGAGGAAGAGCCTGCATAAGTAGAACTGCTTTTGCGGAGGAATGTATACCATTTAGCGATGAGACAGAAACTGTGGTACGCGCCGAGGTCTTTGCACCAATTCAGCTTGAAGAGGCCTCTAAAGTACCTCATTAAAAACATCTTTTCGTTCAGCTGACGGAGGCAGGAAGTTACAGAAGCAAACCAATTATTATGAGTCTTTGCGCTTAGAACAATTTTTACTGAATACCTGGTGCAGAGTGTAGAGCAACGTTTCGAGACAGGCTTTCGGTATGAACTTGATCTTTGGATCAGGGTGAATTTTCCCAACTATAAAGCATTCCTTCGCACAGAAGGAAATCCTTATATGGTTTGCTGAATAGACTTGAAGTACATTCGGTGGGAGAACCATTGCTTTTCGCATGACCCTGTTCCTTGAGCAACTCTGCCGATCTTACATGGTATGAGATTATAGAAATGATGGGAGCACTTTTCCTAGCTCATACAGTGACCATATTAAAAGAGAGAAAGTGTTGAGCAGATTACACAAAATAACTTATAGTGGTTCATCTAGCCCACCTGGGTTACACGTTTTCATTATTGTGCTGCTCTCTGCAGAGTGCATTAGCCAAAGAAGATCACAGAACAGCTCTCCTTCTGCGTAATTCAATGCAAATGTCACCGCATTCACTGTAGGCTCAGCGCTGTATATCTGTGTGCACCAACCTCAAGATAGTCGTAGTTGCAGTTGTCATCGTTTTCAACGTCGAATGTCTGGAAAGCGAGCTTGATGACGTTGCCCGGTGGCACCAGGATGGTGTAGTTGCAATGCCGGTTGCGAGGATACACCGAAGGGTAACGAGGCGATGTAAGCTCGCCCTGAAGTCCCGTCCACCGACCACCACACACTGCGAAAGACGTTCGGCAACACAGAACATTTGTTTTGCGTGTTTTGTAGCTGGAAGACTAATACATTTCACAGAAATGAATCCGGCTTCATTGTTACCAACAGGATGACTCTTCGGCCCTGAGACTGTTGGGCTCGGGAAATAGAATAAGGTGTGATCACTAAAGCCTGCCAGACATGCAAACTTCCGTAATGAGACGAGGAATGCAAATAGTAAGTATGTAAAAAGCTTCAGTGCCGTTCTTTTGAGTCATCCGCTCTTGAAACATAGTCATATGTGTACTTAGAGATTAGTGACGGAGCTATATAAAAACGGAACACTTGCAGAATATGTGCTTAGAGTAATGCAATTACTCAGGACTACAAATCTTGTTTCCTGACTGATTAGTTCTCTTATTCAACGCTATACGTCAGGCGTCTCAAGCCCACCTCAGCTAGTGGGCGTGAGTGACGTAATTTAGTTGAACAAGTGCAAGAACGGGGGCAAGAGTTCTTGAAGAAGGCAAGAGCGAACGCTCACATCTGAAAGATGACCTTTTCCATAACTTCATATATGGGTCATAATGAAGGGGGTTTGACGTCAAAACTCGAGACACTTGTCGGCACCGGTGTCAAGGATGAATTTTATCAGCAGACACTAACTTTGAAACAATTCTTCTGCCCCGGTTATGTTTCAGGTCATGGTGACAGTACGGGGTTCCTTACATAAAAATGGTTAGAACTAGTATCATCTGTGTACCTTACTTGAATCAACTCAGTGTTTCTAACCATGCAAACATAATGCTCGGCAGCGCTTAGCTGCGACGAGAGAAGAAATGCCCAAAATATCTCCTTGTGCGGAAATGATCCTCATTGGTCAATCACAGCTGTTAATCCTCGACACCTCCAGCAAGGAGAATATTGTTCGCTCAAGTAGGCAATTCCGAACATAACGACCATCCTAGCCTTTCGAAGTATCGCCAGGCCATGGCGGTATGTTGGGGAAGGGTGGCAGGCCACTTGTTCGAGACCCCTGCCAGAAGTGGCATAAGTAAAATAAGTGCTGTTACCACAGGCCTCTCAGCTTCAGTGGTGCCATAATAATGTTTTTCTGGAGGTGCAGGTGGAAGACGTTTATTTATCATTAATGTATGTTTGTACGTACATGTGAATGTGTGTGCCTACGTTTTAATCCACCGGCAAAAACCGCTCAGGTTTTAGAAGAGCTCTCATTAGCCTATATAGCCGCAGAGAGAAATGTGTGAACCGCACGTGCAGAGCAAAACGCTGAAGTTCCACTTTCCACTGCATTCTTACAAAAGGGATTCTTTCAGTTTATCATCGCTTGCTTTCAGAATGTGCCACCGAGTTGCTTGGGTGGAACTTTTTTTTCAAAGCCAGGCTTCCAAAGTGGAGGCAATTTTGGTTTGCAAGCCAATTATGCCCATTTTGTTTAGAACAGCATTGTGAGCTTCACGTACTCTTTTAGTAAAAGAGCCTTAACGAGGTGCTGTTAATTCGCATTAAAAAGTAGTTCTCACCTACATTGTCAAAAGTACTCAGCAGGAATAGCTCCTAGAATGCATGGTGGACGCATGAGTTCACGACATTCCCACTTCAAGACGCTCCATAGTCTCTGGCTACATCTTTGGTTTCCACAGGAAAACACTTGAAGAAATACTTCTTATTTGTGTGAACCACCACTGAAAGCATTTTGTTCAAATTATCTCACATCGTATACCAAAGCGTGTTTGTTCAAAAGCGTTAGAGAGATGAGTATGATGACCATCAACTACATACTGTGTAAAAGTACGCAATATTCTTATTTGATTATAATTTCGTTAAAAAAGGATATTCATGAATCTGGGAGTAGTCATTTACGACCAGCTCTTAAATTAGTAAAAAAGCTTGGCACTATCTTTTCATTTAGTTTTCCATTAACTTTGTGCGGTGATGTACAGTATGATTAACTGACAAATTAACTCCTATGTGTTTTTTCAATACCCCGATTGTGCGTTGGAAGACTGGGAACGGTCATGCCATTATGTAAACGTTCTATAAACGATCTATTTTCTCACACGCTACAGTATGGTTCTCGCGCTAATTTCGACCAATTTATACGTGGCGAGAACGTTTGTTTTAGAACACGTTCAAAGCAGCAAATATATCGTATTTTGGCACAGGACAACACATTTAAAATTCTGGCTAGTAATAGCTACATTTTTGTGGTAAATTTGATCTTCGGGAGCATTTTACATGTAGCAAAACGAATGTGGCACAATCTCAAAACAGGGCGCGTAGGAGAAGCGCCAACTGACAGAGCGTATGACCAGCAACATCCCATAAAGAAGAATAATAAAAAATACGTGTCACAGAGACCGTACCACACTCTAAAAACAAATATTATGTGGTACTACTTTTGGCAAGTCTTGAATTTTCATGTATATGATTCCCTTTACAAAGCTACCTTAAGCGTTTTTTTGCTTGCAAGATTATACGAAAAGAGCACAAGACTTTCTGAAAAAAAAATTCACGAGTCTCTTTAAAGAAAGTCGTATGCGTGAGAAGTAATAACCCTCAAAAAAGATCCAAAGGATCCTTTTTTTTTTCTTGGAGTGTCGAGAAGACAACGCAAAACTAAGTCGCTGAAAGTGTGTAGATCTTCACAGTAATATTTATGCCAGCTCATTCGTGTGTTTCGCCATCGCCGTGTTATACTGAATGGCACTAGTTAAGGAAGTCTTTACTTATTCCAAACTGGATGCTGCGTACATTACAAAGTCGTCGGGACATCTGCTTTATAAAACGAAACAAAAGGCTAATTTAACATTGAATTGTAATAGAGGTGGTTTTCATCCCCTACTTTACGAGAATAAGTTGCACTACGAACGCGCACCTAATACTAGAGGTTCTTGTACCATTAAACTAGGCAATGAAGTGCAACTCGAGACGATTGTGTCAGCCTGTGTGACAGTGAGCGAGGTTTTCTCGGCACGCTCATGTAGTCGCTAATTTCCGTCTTGTCGTCGCCAGTGTATTGCTGATGCGATAATTTTTCATCTTTCGTTGGAGTCTTTGCCGATGAATATGCAGCGTGAACAGGCGCTTGTAAATCAGGCCATCACTCATATCAATGTGTTTCTGCTGCCTATATTTACACGTTCGTTTATCCCATCAGGCCATGAAATTTATTCGAAGTAGTGTCTGCAACAAAGTCTCAATGGATTACTAGTATGCTTCTCACCTAGTATATTCCTGCTACTACAGTATACTTCAACGTGCCATTCAGTGTGAACATCCCACGACTGCAACATTGCTCGTTATTCGGTCTGCCAGAATCAACGTTTAACTCTTATCTCGAGCCGCAATGCTGCATTTCTAAGTGAACACGCTACAGACCTTAGGCACCGTATGATGCACGCTCTTCTAGTGGCCCAAATGTACTGCAAGACGTTCTCCACCGCAACCTTACCTGTCTCGTAGAGTGCGCTGAAGCCCTGGAGGCGCGTGTTCTCGTCCGTCTTGAAGCGGAGAAAAAGCGAGCTGCCCGTTGAGAGCACGGGAGAAGGTACGTAGTCGCCACACACACGACGCAGAAGCGGTGAACGATCGTCACTGCCGTCGTAGATCTGCAGAGACCACAGCCTATAGTGTAGACTCTGACTTGTAAACACCTCCGGAAACAATTTCTCGGTAATGCTGGACTCGAACCCATGTACGCGCTATCCCAAGGCGAGGGTCATAAAGACTTGTCTTGTCCAGGCACGCTAGCGTTGCATAGTATAGATTTATACAGTGTAGTATGGCAACGGGAATGTAAAAGGCAGTTCAGGGTGAGAAGAGAGATCATTAGGGGAAAGAGTGAAGCATTGAACTGGAAGAATAAAAAAGAGAAATAGAAAACAAAGGCAGACATGGGAATGGAGAGATTAAAATAAAGGAAAATAAATGGCTTAAGTGAGAGAAATGTAGAAAGAAAGAAGAAGCAAGCTAGAAACACAAGAAAAGAGTAAGGAAGGGGAGAAGCATGAAGCAAACGATGTTTCAGCTCGATCAACTAACGTGCACAAAACCTGACGAGGGGCGAAGGATGCATCGCGAGCCGATGTTTCTCACAGCAAAATGGCCGCTAATGGGCAATGAGAGACAGAAAAGGAAGAAGAACCTGACCGAGTGTTTTGCCGCATTATTTTGAGATACATTTTTTGATCAGATTATGAAGGTAAGATCTACGTGAAAATCAGAGAGGTTTTTTTTTATGAGTCACTAGTGGTGCCGGATGTGAAACCGGGCGAGTAAAAGCGTTTCAGCTTTACTCAAGTTTTCGGCTATTTTGGGGCCAACTGTTATCTTCTCTATTCTTAAATAACTGGTGGCGAGTACAGCATTGTCACATCTGAGACATGTTTCAAGAAGTGGTGTTTCAAATAAATGACCTTACCGTTGAAATGCCCGCTTGTGTCTCTGGTTTCAGTTAAGAAACTTGAGTGTCATGGTAAATTTTGACGTCGCTGCTAAGTGAAACATCATGCTTTTAGTAATAAAGATGTGCCTTTAACTCGTTATATGCATACCATGACGAGTGGCGAGCAGTGGGAAATTGATTCAATTTTCGTGGCACATAACAATTTACGATAGACCATGACGACTACTTGACACGCCGACAACCGAGGCTCTAAGGTGTTTCGCCTCTAATAGTACAGCCATTCGAGTATGCTTAATCAACAACACAAACATTTTAGCGAGGTCTAGAAACCGGTGCTCTAGCGCCTGCTTACGCTCTCAAAGCGAAATACCACACTTGCGTTTTTTCGTGCGTTACTTTCTCCACAATGCATTTCAAGGTATTTTAATTATGTGGTGGTAAGCAACTACTAACATACGATGTTCATTGTCTGAAACCAAATGTAGAGAGGAATTTTAAACTTTTTCTCACAAAGGGCAGACGTAGGGACCCAGTGTTTGGGGCACTCGGCTGCTTATCCGACGGACGCGGCTCATTCGCGGCCATGCTGTTCCCATTTCAATGGTAGCAAAATACTAGGTGACTGAGCACTGTGCGATTTCAATGCATGCTGTTGAACGCCAGTCGGTCGCATATTGTCGCGGTTCAACGTAAGCAGGCCACCGAGGCGTTGAGTCCGAGAACCGACGACGTGTTGTTATGCAGCAGCCAAGAGCAAGGACATAAAACAAAAGCACGTTGCCTTCTTCGGCCAGTGTCCACTTTCACGAGAATGTTGGCGCACACATCGCCTTCGTTGTCTGTCTATTTAGAGCAGGGCATTTGCCTCCCCTTACAAGAGCATTGCCCCGATGCTATAGCTGAACTGGTCATTCGTGCATAAAGTAACTTTGCACAAGTGACGGTGCTTGGCAGAGTCACTCGCTGACGTGTGGTTTAATGCGCAATACGTGAACAAGTTCAGGTCGGTGCTGGCGACGCCTTGTACAGTTTGGGCTAGCCGGGACGACCTTGTAGATAACGCCACTTAGTCGTCGCAGCACTCGATAAGGTCCGAAGTATCTTCTGAGCAACTTTCCGGGCAGTCCCCGTCTTCGTGCAGGCGTCCACACCCATACCCTGTCCCCAGTTTCATACGTTACAGTTGTATGTCGTACGTTTTAGCGACCTGCGTCGTACTCTTGCTGCTGGTATATTCACATAAGTGTGAGTTTCCTGGCTTCTTCTGCGCATTGAATGCACACGTCGGCACTCGTATTGTTGTCATCGCATTCGTGTGGCAGCATCGCGTCCAACATCTTCCTTACTTCTCATCCGTGATCAAGCCTGAATGGGGTCATCTGTGTATTTTTTTGTTTTGCAGTATTGTGTGCAAACGTTCTTTAATAGAGAATCTTGTCCCAATTTTTGCGATCCACGTCCACATACATTGAAAGCATGTCTTCCAGAGTTTTGTTGAGCCGCTCGGTCAACCCCTTGGTTTGTGGATGGTAGGCTGTCGACTTACGATGAATAGTATCCCTGAGCACCAACACATGATCTAAAATCACGGCCGTGAATGCAGTTCCACGATATGTTATAGCGATCGACGGCGCACTGTGTCTCAGCACAATGTTCTCTATGAAGAACCGTTCTACCTTCTCTGTTGTGCCTTTCTGGACGGCTTTTGTCTCGGCGTAGCGAGTAAGGTATTCAGTCGCCACTAAAACCCAGTGGTTGCCAGCAGTAAGGTGGGAAGTGGGCCAAAAGGTCCACTCTGATGTACTAAAATAGCTTTGGCGGGATCTGGACAGGGTGTAACAAACCGGCTGGTTTTGTCGGAGGTGACTTGCACCGCTGGCAATAGAGGCAGGTTCGAACATAATCTTTCACGGCAGTGGCGAGCCTAGGCCAGTGATTCCTCTCCCGAACCCTGCCCAGTGTACGCGTGTAGCCTAAATGTCCAGATGTGACCTCGTTGTGGCACGCTTGCAATACATCAGAACGAAGAGTGGTAGGGACGACAAGCAGGTAGGTTGACCCATGTGACGAGAAGTTCATCTTGTAAAGGACATTGTTTTGCATACAGAACAACGATAGTTATTTTTCAAAGGCTTTGGGAACGTTCTGGCTTCGTCCTTCTAAATAATTAATCTAGTCAAGTAGCTCAGGATTGGCATACTGGTGATCTCCAATGGTTGACGTGTCGAGGATTCCGAGGAATGCTGTCTCTTCATCAAGCAGCCGCCTCTATCGTTCAGTCGTTGAGAAGTAGCCGACTCTATCGGTGATCGAGACAGGCAGTTGGCGTCCGTGTGTCGTTTTCCTGACTTGTACACCATTGCACACCATAGTAACCTGCGCTTCGCCGATGACATTGCATTGCTGAGTAACTCAGGGGACGAATTGCATCTCATGATTACGGAGTTAGACAAGGAGAGCAGAAAGGTGGGTCCTAAAATTAATCTGCAGAAAACTAAAGTAATGTACAACAGCCTCGGAAGGGAGCAGCGCTTTGAGATAGGGAATAGTGCACTTCAAGGCTATGTCTACTTAGGGCAGGTAATAACCGCGGAGCCGAACCATGAGATTGAAGTAACTACAAGAATAAGAATGGGGTGGAGCACATTTGGCAAGCACTCTCAAATTATGACAGGTCTATATTGCCACTATCCCCCAAAAGCAAGGTATATAACAGCTGCATCTCGCCGGTACTTTGCTATGGAGTAGAAACCTGGAGACCTACAAAGAGGGTTCAGCATAAATTGAGGATGACGCAGCGAGCAATGGAAACAAAATGGTAGGTGTAACCTTAAAAGACAAGAAGAGAGCAGCGTGGATTAGGGAAGAAACGGGGGTTAGGGATATCGTAGTTGAAATCAAGAAGAGAAAATAGACATAAGTCGGGCATGTAGCGCGTAGGCAGGATAACCGCTGGTCATTAAGGGTAACTAGCTGTATTTCCAGAGAAGACAAGCGGGTTAGGGGGAGACAGAAGGTTAGGAGGGCAGATAAAATTAAGAAGTTTGCGGGTGTAAATTGGCAGCAGCAAACACAGGACCAAGGTGACTGGCGGAACATGGGAGAGGCCTTTGTCCTGCAGTGGACGTGGTCAGGCTGATGATGATGATGACATCATCGTTATATCAAATTCCTGTAGTCTAAGGCTCCAGCGTGCCAATCGCCCGGAAGGATCTTTCAGACTTGTCAACCACCACAACGAATGGTGGTCACTGATAACCTAGAATGTGCGGCCGTACAGGTATGGGCGAAATTTCACAACTGCTCACACCACGGCGAGATATTCTTTTTCAGTTGTGGAATAATTTGCTTCTGTGCGTGAGAGAATTCTGATTGCGTAAGCGAGCACTTTTTCCTCGTCGTCCTGACGCTACACAAGCACAGCTCCGAGGCCCACATTGCTGGAATAAATATAAAGCATTGTAAGGGCTGTCTCATCGAAATGGGCAAGCACGGCGGTCATGTGTAGACGTTGCCGCAAGTCATTGAAAGCAGGTTCCTGTTCGTCGCCCCAAACAAATGCAACATCATCGCTCGTGAGACGAGTAAAAGGCGGCGCATTGCGCGCAAAATCTAGTAGAAACCACCGATAATGTGCGCAGAGATCCAGAAAACGCCTGACTGTCTTTTTTTGATGGTGTTGGAAGCTGTGCGATGGCGGAAACTTTTTCGGGATTGGACGAACTCTTGCGTAACTGACGACATGGCCAAAAAAAACTGTAGTTCCTCAAAGCAAAAGTGACACTTCTCCGGCTTGAGCGTCAGGCCTGCGTTCCGTATGACTTGCAAGACCACCTGCAATCCTTCAAGGTGTTCGTCGAATGTTGCAGAAAACACAATGACGTCGTTAAGGTATACTAGTCAGATTCCGCATTTATTCCCAGAGAGCACGGTATTCATGAGACGCTGAAAAGTAGCAGGCGCAGAGCACAAGCCTAATGGTAAGACTTTAAATTCGTACAATCCGTCCAGTGTCACGAAAGCGTTTTTTTCGCGACCTTGGGGTTAACTTATTTTGCCAATATTCACCCTATACGTTCACGGGCATGAAGTAAGGTGCGTTTCGAAGCCTGTCGATTGAATCATCTATGCGGGGACGCGGGTACACGTCACCTGATTTAGCTTTCGATAGTCCACACAGAAACGCAGGCTGCCGTCCTTCTT